ACCAAATTCTGGTTCTCGATTCTGAGTTTGTCGAACTACTGAAGATGTGCAGTTTGAACAGACATAGCTTCTCTTCCCTTTATACCATAAAGGGTAAGGACAACTCCTTCAGTGAAAACAAACATGCCAGTCGTATGTTTGGCTTACTAGCAACACCACTAAGCGGAGTTGCCCATCTAACCATAAAAAAACAAAGCCTGGCTCTTCATAAGACATGGGAAGGAACCTCCATGCATCTTCATGCTTCAAGGGAACCCAGGACAACTTCATATCTTCAAGCTTAGAAAAGACAAGGGAAGTTCAGTTGTTCTTTCTCAGGTGGTGTTGTTTTCTTTCATTAGGAATCTTTTTTCATCACAAAACGCAATAAGCCACCTCAGCCGCTTATGAGTCGCTCGAAAAAAGTGGCTGGAACTCAACGAGCTCTTACAATATACCAATACTAGGGAGCGAAATGGTCAAACTCCAAATACATTCGGTCACAAGCAGAGTATGTCGAGCTTCTTACGTTTTATACTTCGTGGGAATTAGGGGAGGAAATGGTCTGCCTCCACCAAACTCCAAATACATTCGGTCACACGTAAGTAGAGTATGTCGAGCTTCTTACGCTTTATACTCCGTGGGAATCAAGACAAGCATGTATCTGGAAAGCATTCGCTATTCTTCTCAACACGCTTGCTTGCTGTTTTCTTATTAAAAGATGCAAGACGATCCTGTCTCAGAACATATACGTAATCGAGCTCCGTTGCACCGCGCTACTCGCACAAGTGATATAGCTCCTGCCATCTTTGAATACAGCATGAAACAGCTCCAGACCCCTCCTCCTGGCCTCCGAGAATGGTGCAAACACATCTTTTTTCATTAAGCATGCTTTAAGGAAAACAATAAAACAAAACACTGGACTCACCTCGTGAGCAAGGCTGACCTTGACTCGGTTATGACTTTGCTCCACGAGAGAAGAGTTGGTACCGCCAGTAATCGAAGCAGTTGAAAGCTCATTTACCTGGTTCCCCAGTGTCGCGTGAATGGTCCTGGTATTCTTTTTGTATAAGGGAACCCCAAAAGTAATAAGGCAAGACAGCACTGTTGGGGAACTATATAACTTTATAGGTAATGATATGAAATATCGGGGCTTGTCAGCTTCTTTGGTTTGTGAGGTAATCTAAAACTCGAGTTTTCTTCTTGTTCAAGCAACAGGCAAGAATTTAAACGGTTAGCAAGATCTTACCTCGATGCAGAAACAAGAACTTGACAGTATCTGAACATGATGCACAGTTCAACGAACATGTGCATTCGCATCAAACGTTCTAAACCGTCCACAAACACAGGCAAGTTTCAATATTATAAAGTACAGCTGTTCTTCTATTTTTCTTGAGCAAAGGTGATCTTAACAACAGCTATGACTTTGTTCGATGAAAGAAGCAAGAGCACAGTTGGGAACTGAAGCAATTGAAGGCTCATGTATGAGTACGTGGTACGGCTGTTCTTCTATTACTTTTGCATTTCAAGCTTCAGGAATCTTGCGAAATTCGAGCTTGCCGCTGTTTTCGCATCCGAGGTTGCCAAAACACCGCCAGGCACCAATTTCCCTAAACTTTGTGAGGCTGGAAGTGCCAAAACCTCGCCAGGCACCAATTTCCCCAAAATCCCCAAAATCCCGGCATGTATGAGGCGTGCCGGGCCATAGGCCATAGTTGCTCAGAGTTTGGGATTTTTGGGGAAATTGGTGCCTGTCGATTTTTCGCACTTCCAGCTTTGCAAACTTTGGGGAAATTGGTGCCTGGCGGTGTTTTCGCATCCGAGGTTGCCAAAACACCACCAGGCACCAATTTCCCCAAACTTTGTGAGGCTGGAAGTGCCAAAACCTCGCCAGGCACCAATTTCCCCAAAATCCCCAAAATCCCGGCATGCATGAGGCGTGCCGGGCCATAGGCCATAGTGGCTCAGAGTTTGGGATTTTTGTTGAAATTGGTGCGTGTCGATGTTTTCGCACTTCCAGCTTTGCAAACTTTGGGGAAATTGGTGCCTGGCGGTGTTTGCGCATCCGAGGTTGCCCACCTCCCATGATCCACTGTTTGCAAGAAGCAGGTTCGGGTGGATCATGGGCGGGGGGGGGGGGGGGGGGGGCGTGAGCATATATATATATATATATATATATATATATTCCTATTACATGCTATACACATACACCTTATTTTTTTTAGGTTCTAGTTGTAAACTCAATATGTTAAAGTATAAATTATCGATTAGATATGATGTGTTATATTTCAAGTTTCAGATTATATACTTCTAAATCAGATGTTTTTTTGCTTTTTTACATTTTGGGATTATATTTCAAATATTGTGTATCATATACTTCATTTTTTGCATAATCACTTCTAACATATGTTACCAACTTTACACCACATATTGAGTATTTCATATTATTAAATATTGCATATGATCTTTTCTTATGCTACATATCGGATACCATATGTCATATATCACATGTTGAATATTCTATAATGAATATGATATCCAGTTCTTTATATTATATACTTTAGATTATACATTATATCGTGAAGTTGTATATCATTCAGTTTAGATTATATAGTACATATTATACAATAAAACATATAAAGTTTGTACATATATATAAACTATACTATAGTATATCACCCACTATTATCTATAAAATTTTACTATATATCAGTTTCGTGAGCCTGGTCTGTGGACGCTCCACAAATGCATGTTAGCATTCCCCTCCCCACCCCCCCACCCCACCCCCCCAACTAACCAGGCGTACAGGTACGCACAGCGCTCCAACTACTAGCTAAAAGCTACTAACTACTACTACCACCACTACCACTACCACCACTACTACCGCTACTACTACTGCTACTACTACTACTACTACCACTACTACTACTACTACTACTACTACTACTACTACTACTACTACTACTACTACTACTACTGGTACTACTACGACTACTACTACTACTTCTACTACTACTACTACTACTACTACTACTACTACTACTACTACTACTACTACTACTACTACTTCTCCTGCTTCTCCTGCTTCTCCTGCTTCTACTACTACTTCTACTTCTTCTACTACTACTACTACTACTACTACTACTACTACTACTACTACTACTACTCCTAGCTGCTACCACTACACGACGAGCTGTCACTGCTACTGCTGCTGCTACTGCTGCTGCTGCTGCTGCTTTTCCTGCTCCTGCTACTAGTTCTACTCCTGCTGCTACTACTACTGCTGCTGCTACTACTGCTACCACGGTTAATACGAATAGTATTAGCAACAACAATAACAGTGCGAATAGTAATAGTAGTTTCGACAATACCAATACTACACATACTATTATCACCAATGAAACAATTTTAATAATAGCAATAACAATAATAGTGAAAATGATATTAGCAATGCTTATAATGGCAACAGGAATCATCACAACGGCTATTGTTGTTTCGTTAACGGTTATGATACGTAACCTTATCAAACCGCTTTGTTAAGATGAAACTGCACAAAACTACATACAACGAATGTGCCCCTTTGTACATCTGGATAGATCCTAAACCCTAAACCCAACCACCTCGTCCTGGAGGCGCCACGGCAGCTTTTCGAGACCCCCGAACCTGTAGACAGCAAGGCCAGACTTCGCACATTCAGGTTTCAGGGCTACCTGGACCTCAAAAACATGTAGAATAATAGCCTTTTATGGGTTTGGACTTTTGGGGGTCTAGGTAGTGCTTTCGGGTCTAAGGAGCTTTCGGGGTTCAGGGTTCAAGGGTTTATGGTTTAGGGTTATTCGGAATTTCGTGTTGAGGCATTCGGGGTTCAGGATCAACAACATAGCTGCTGAGGCTCAAGGGTTTATGTTCAAGCAATCGGTTAATGCGGTGAGGGTTGCACCTCTCCGAGCCCGGTTGACATACTGGTAGGGTATGACTCCAGACTTCATGTTTAGGGGCTAAAGTTGTGCAGCACCAGCCGTGAAAATACCCAGACATTTCTCAAGATTTATAGAAGGAAATCAGAATCAGGAGCTCTAAGAAGGTAGGTTTTCCAGTGTTCAAGTACAGCTTCTGGTGTTGTTGGTCGGTCCGGGGACTTGAGCATGAGATCTGTTTTGTCTTTGAGGCTTGACAAGGTTCGGGAGACAGGAGACAGAGTGAATCGCACTCCTGGGCACAAGACCCTAAACTCAATGTCCTGAACCGCGAAAAATACTCGTGGCGTACTACTGTGCGTACTGCTGTTCCTTGGTGTTAACTGCTACAGCATGATTGGCAGCATGAGTACTTCTCAGACTATTGCTGCGAGTGTGTTCGGGGTCCCCTGCCAAAAATTGTGTTACTATGTCCTAGTAGCATCTCTCTCCGTTGAGTTGTCTTCTCACCTTGCACAGGTACCTATTCGACAGACCTCTTAAGCCCACTACCACAATATGCACGCAAGATGGTCCGTGATGAGAATGGGCAGCAAGAGGGAGTGCAGCACAGGAGGATTTCTCGGGTGCTTCTCCTTCAGGAGTCCTGAAATCCTGAGGACTAAGTATGTAGACCGAAGCCCTAAACCTGTAGGGTTGAAGGCAGAGCTTTGGTGGTGCTTTATTTCAGGATGTCAGCTTCTGTCTTGATGAACTTTGCATCCGAAGGTTAACCCCAAAAGTGTGTTGGTGTGGGGAGGGGATGCCGTTCCGGGTCGTGATGCATTTAGCCAGGTTAATGTCTACGCAGAATTCTTGAAGAAAAGTTTATCCTATGTAGGGTCACTAGAATACCGGCGTTCTTCACTTTGGCTTTCTTCGGTCCCTGTAGTTTCTGCAGCCTCGACGACACCAGAAGCCCTAACCCACAAATCCCAAGGCCCTGAACCCCCGAATAATAAGGTCTAAAACAAAAACTCCACACCGTAAGCCCTCAACCCTAAACCCTAAACGCTAAACCCAACCCTAAGCTATAAGTTGCCACAGCCTTGAAAGGGGGAGGAGATGGCCGACATGGTCCTCGAGAAGCTTCGATGCCAGGTAGCAAATGAAGAATCTGTCATACCAGGCAGTACGGGATTTCGGTATCGGTTTAGGGTTGCAACTGTATCTGTATAGGTGTGTGTATACATATATATATATAATATATATATATATATATATATATGTAGGGGTTACTAGAGGAGGTTGTATCGGGTTCAGGGTTCCAGACACACCAAAATGCCACGGACAAAATGTAGTCTCTGGGTGAACTGTGTGGCCCTGTTGTTTGGAAACTGTACTTCGAACCGCCCCACCCCAATCACTTAGGGTTGAGGGTCTGGTAAAGTTGAATCGCAGATACAGCCCAATCTGCAGAACCTTCTAGATGCCTTCAGCAGAGAGACTGGGACCTATTGCTCATGATGACAGGTGTAGCATCGAAAAGCATTCATTGATGACCGGTAAAGTGGAAAACCGCATGCACGCGTCCATTGTAGCACCAGCGATACTCAGACGCACCAAGGTACGGTGTCGCATCGCAGGTGTACCAGCTGGGAGTACAAAAGTGTTCCGGGGCCTGAACAATCGACAATAGTTTCCCTTGGGGCCATGGGTTTCGTAAACATGTTCGTACAATAGCATTCCCCCAAACATTCTTTTCAATATTCCGGCCCTGTATATGAGGTGAGCACAGCCCTGAACCCCAAACCCCGAACCCCTAAACCCTAGGAGAATCAAAGGCCCGAGCACCAACAGGGCCGACGTAGGTCCAGGGCTCCACGGCCCCTAAACCCTAAACCCTAAACCCTAAACACCATCACTCCCTAAGTTTGGCCCCAGGGTTGATACGGGTGGTTGCCAATATTATGGTCCCTTCTTTGGGTACCCTAAATATTAGGTGCCGTACTATATTAGGGACCCAAGAAGGGACCATAATTTTGACAACCACCCTTGTTATAGATCCTGCATTGCCAATAATAAGGAAAATGCCATTATTCCGATAGTCTAGGGTGCATTACCCATAGTCAGGAATATACCAATATTCCGATAGTCTGGGGTCATCATGTAAGGTAATGTAGGATCTAGATCATCAACCGTAGGTTTGGCGCTACGGCCGCTAGGGTTTTGGGACCCATAAAGGGCTTAGCGGCTTTTGGCTTCGATGATGCCGGGAGCTGCGGTCTTTTTGTGGTGTGAAGAATCCAGTCGGAGAAGTTTGGAAGGATGTCAGAAACATCGGGTGGAGAAGAGGCCCGTTGCTGCACACGAAAAGCTGTCGAGAAACTGTCGCGGAAGTGACTGTGCTCGTTCTCCGTCTTCTGCTCGAGCGTCTGTGGAGCTAAATCATGTGTGATCGTGGTACAAAGCCGCAATCTGAGCAAGGTCCACCAGACATCAAAGCGGTCATAGGAGATCAGCAATAGGACCCCCTCGATCTGTGTCGGTAGCAGTAAATATTGTCGGTCGTCACCCTGCTAGCCAGGGTCGCGCACATGCCCTGTACCCTTGTATGTAGACGGACATTTTTCTTGTGCTTGGTCGCTGAGAAAACAGTCCATGGGTGCCCTTTTCAGTAATTACTTGTCACTTTTTTATCGGCGAACAGCCCTAAATGTTGAACCCGGCCTCCTCCGACAGGTAAAAGCCACATACGTCCCCTCCACGTTGAGGAAAAAACTTCGCGAACTTGCGGATGGCGTTTCGCGCCTTGGAGCGCCGGGAAGGGCCTTCCGGGCCGAAGCTTTCCCCTGTGGCTCGGTTTGGGCGTTTCGGACCATGTCCGTAGATGTTGAGATATAACCATAGCCATAGTTTAAGAATCTACATATACGTATATATATATATATATATATATATATTTATATTTATATTTATTTATTTATCTATATATATATATATGTATACCTATATGATATATATATATATATATATGTGTGTGTGTGTGTATACATATATATATATATATATATATATACATATATATATACATATATATATATATATATGTTATATACACACACATGGAAATAGGTCGATCTATCTATGTGTGTGCATATCCCCGAATGCATATAGGTGTATACAAGTTGCATGTTTGTGTACTTAAGATGTGTAATAGAAGTAAAAGTAGGGGTGTAAACAAATATATACACATATACTGGTGTGTAGATATATATATATATATATATATATATATATATATATATATATGGTACCCCCCCCCCCCATGTACCCACGCCTTTCTTCTAAATCCCAGTTTTCGGAAGGCGTGGGTCCGTGGGGTCCCCTTCGTCCCCAAGCCTTTCTCCTAAATCTCATGTTCAGGATGGTGTGGGAGTTTGGGATTGGGGGCAGTGCCTGCAGATTGTACTTTATTATTTCATGTCATTGGCGGGTTCCCTCCAAAATAGCCCCGAATCATCCGAATCATTTTGATTCGGTCCCGGCGCTGGATCCAAGATCCAAGATTGCACAGAGGTCTTGCGCGGGCAATCTTGGATCCGACGCTCATCCGAATCATTCGAATCATTTCCGAGTCATTTTGATTCGGGCCCGGGCCCGGATCCAAGATCGGATCTTGGATCCGGGCCCGAATCAAACAGATTCGGATGATTCGGGTGAGTGTCGGATCCAAGATTGCCCGCGCAAGACCTCTGGGCAATCTTGGATCTTGGATCCAGCGCCGGGACCGAATCAAAATGATTCGGAAATGATTCGGTTTCCCTCCTTCTTATTCGGCATGTGGACTGTCATGATAGTTCTAACATCTGGTTTGTGATGAAGTATGCCAGTCATTATTTAGTCAATAATGCGTTTGTTGCTTCAGGAGATGTAAGTCCAGCACGATTCTGAGTATCGTTTTTGTCATTAACACGTTAGCATAATCCTCCATGGTTTAGCCCATTGTGCAGTCATCTGTTCAATCAACTTCATCGTCATTGCAGTTATCCTACCGTCAACACCAAATTGCACATCTTATGTTCTCGACTTATTTCCCGGCTCCCCTTCGCCTTCTATTGTCATGTTGATTATATGCAACGTCTGGTCTTTTGTGAAGTATGCCAGTCATTTACGTTACCATACAGCTGTGACTGCCGTGATTCATCCCGTCATTTCTGTTTTACTGTTGGACATGTAGACTAGCACAGCAATTCCATGCCAGCGGCGTCGTACACCTAGGAGAACTGAAGTTCATATTATGGAACTGTTAATACCCTCTTGACATGTGCAAAATGTTGATGAAATTTAGTCGGCTTAGCCACTGGTTTTATAGTTTGACGGATTGGCCGGATTCATTTGTTGGGCACACATATGACATATGTGTTCTTGCGATGTGATTACATATGTTGCTGCATGTTTTGTGAGCATGTTCATGAAATCAATCCTTTCATGCTGTACAAGACTAGGCATGAATCTCTGCGTGAAGACGGTACTATACGAAGACCACTTAATTGATCATCTTCGTCCGTTACCAAGTACGGAACTAGACGTATCGTCTACTCTTGTCTAGGACTCAAGCCTTTACTAAGGGAAACTTAGTGTTGCATGGAAAATGTATTGGCTTCGCTTACACTTTTAAAAAGGTACATGTATAACGTGTGTTGCTTCATGCTTGGATGGGGGTGTCTCTAGGTGGTGCACTTTCGTTTTTTTATGTCTTTAATTGGTGCTTACAGTAAACAGGACTACCCGGTACAGTCACCACGAAACTCTGACATACAGGAGTCTTTATTGGTCATCATGCATTAGGTGCGAGACATGTAAACGACTCTGTAAGAACAGACAAGCTCCAGCTCGACAGGATTGACATGATTCAGATGATGGATGCATAGGCTAAAGATTACCTAAGCCCAGAAGAAACATGTAAACCTTACAGTTCGTATCAATACAAGACAGCGACAACAACAAACTTATCTAGTCAGTACCAATAACAATATAGCTTAATCGAAGAGGAGTAGAATGGAGTAGAAAGTTCAATACGCAGCCAAAACATGTTGAATTCTCGTCAGTCTTCGCCTCTTTCAGCTGGTTTCTAGGAACAAATGTGTCGGCAGAATAAGCCATAATTTTACTGAGAGTGTTTGCGTACGTTGGCCAGTCCTGCAAGCACAGGTGCAAATGTTCGAAAAGTAACTCGTAGGCTTATACTTTATCAAAATGTGCATAAACGTAGGATTCAACAACCAATACATTTACTTTTACAGGTCGGGCTAGGATAAAACAGGGTGAACAATAGCGGGACTAGCGTACCTAGGAAAGTAGTTTTTCAGACATACTAAGACAGGGGGAAATAAAGAGTGTTAGCTGGGTTACGTACCTAGGAAAGCTTTATTGGAAATAAAGAGTGTTAGCTGGATTGGTATTACTGAAGCAATCAGAACGGTGGGTATAACCATACTAGTAAAGACACTGGTCACAGGAAGAGCATCATTGGTAAATGCAACAGTGAAACTACACTAGGTGCTGGCATAGAAGAACATATTAGTACTTTCGTGTACTTTGCATTAACCAAGAACAGTGGAGATTGGAAAGGTATTGCCACGACGACGATCCCGCACAATTCAAGCGCAAAGCGTGGGTACGTGAGGGGGGTAGCATATATATATATATGTGTGTGTGTATATGTCTGTGTAAATGTGTGCATCACGTGCTGGCCTTGAGTCTATGCTGGCTGAAAACCAGGGGTTGCTTTACCACGGTTCCGGCGCATGCCGCCTATGTATTCAGCATGTACACAGCCCCTGTGGCTGGAGCTGAACCACTGCAAGTCAAGCTAAAGCTTTGGGCTTCTATACAAGTTTCAGGGTTTACTGTAGGGCTTACGGCTTAGAGTTTATGGGTTCAGGGGTTTAGGGTTTATGGGGCTTAGGGTTGAGGGTCAAGTACTGAAGTCTGGTCCCGCATATCCTTTTGAAGGAACCCCTGAACCTTGGGACATGAATCCTGGAATAGACCCTGGGGCACTGCTCCGACTCCGTAACAATTGGATAAGGTTCATAATGTAATTTCTACAGCCCTTCTTTTATATAGCCCTTAATGTGACCCCAATCTAGACTGTTGCAAGGTGGAGGCAGTACCCGAAATGGACCCTACGATGTGACTTGACACACTTGTTCTTGCAGTATAGGCTCCAGTCTCATAACTCATAACCTTATTTCGTTTAACCATTCAGGGCAGACCCTCATCCACCAAGAGCTACACCCTGGCACTCGAAAGTTTCACACATCGCAATAAAGCCAATATTCACTTAACCCAAAACCCAAACCCTAGACCAATCGCAGAGGACCGCAGCAACAACGGCTATATTTCCCGTGCAGACTTCTTGGATGCCGGAGATCTCAGACGGTTCAAAAGGTCCTCATGGTGAGGCTTCTAGGAAGAGCCTCCATAGGAACAGGTGATGGTAGTTTCAGGTAGTACCCTAAGCCCTAAACTACGTAGGGCTGAGGCAGGGTGGGACTTCCGCTGAAACGGCTTCACGACACGATATGGCCCTGCCGATCCAAGGCTCATCTCTTCAAGGCTTGTCACAGCTAAGTCTTAAATCCTCCTAAACCCTAAACATCTCGATTCCGTAGAAAAACAGTCATCGCCCTACAATAACAATGCAACACGCATCGTCATATATCATAAACATCATCAGGGTGCTCTGCTCTGTCTGCAGACATCCAGTCGGAAGCCAAGCCTTACTATACACCCTTTCCACTGTAAACCCGAGACCCCAAACCCTAAACTCCAAACTCCAATTGGCTTCAGAGTCTTGAAGGCATATGAAACCCCATTATGCATACATACCTATGTACATACGTACATACATGGGTTGGCATGGAGTCCGTGGAAGCCCACAGCAACTTGAGGCTGTGGCGTTCCAGCCGGCTTAAGGGTGTTTAGGGTTCAGAGTTTATGGTTCGGTTTAGGGTTTAGGGTGATCCTCTTCCATCGTCAATTGCCGCATCAGAAGGCTTCGTTGCGGTGCTCGTCTTGCAAGCCTGGCTCTACCTGTATGAGCTTCACTGCTTAGGGCTTTCTATCCATATGGCCATCGTTATGGTATTTTCAAACTAGAGGCCCGATAGACAACGAGACAAACCCCACACCCAGCCGAACCAAACACCGAAACCTATGCAGACCCTAAACTTGGTTTAGGGTTTAGAGTTTGCAGCCCTAGGCCGGTAAACTTCCAACATACATTTTCCAGAGACCGTACAAAAGGCAGGTTGAGGTAAGTAAGGCTAGAAGCCTTGAGACCAAAGCGCCAGCATGCAGTAGAGTCCTAAAGCCTTCCGGACGTGCAAAGCCTCATCAAAACCCTTATCCAAGCGCGAGAAAGTTCAGAACGACGTGACTCCATAAGCTGTAATCCTCTGATGTACAGCAGAAATCCTATAAGTTTTGCCTGGATCAGCCTGGCTTCGTATAAAGAGGCCTTGGAGCACATCTTCTTGAATGCGGGACATACGCCCGAGGCACTGATTTCAGCGCTCACTCCGGTAAGGCGTTGACAGCTTTAGGGTTGCAGACTCTGAGGGTTTGAGGGTTCTAGAGGCCTCGGGGCCGCGTGACTTAGCGAGAGTGCTCGGTTGAGTGTGGAGGGTTTCCTTGGCCTGACCCCCTAAACTCACTCAATCAATCACTCAATCAATCAATCAAGCAACCAACCAAGCAACCAACCAAGCAATCAAGCCACCAAGCAAGCAATCAACTAACTAGCCAGCCAGCCAACCAAGCAAACAAGCAATCAATCAATCAACTAATCAACTCTCTCTCTCTCTCTCTCTCTCTCTCTTTCTGGCTCTCCCTGTCACAATCAGTGTCATCGCCGTGATCATTCGTGATGCTGATGTTTCCTGCGTAATTAGCATCATATCGCAAGGACGCCCTCGAAGGGTTGCCATTTAGCAAGGGGTTTAGGGTTTAGGGACCCTAAACCAATAGAAGGGTTTCCTCAAAGAAAGATGTTGTAACGAAATCGCAGGGTACACAAAGCAGAGGCATGTGGTAGTTTCAGCTGGATGTAGGATGAGGGAAAGGAGTCTAACCCCACATCCTAAAACCCAGGACGTGGAAGGAGCTCACGGTTTCCAAACCTGAGTTGAATCTTCATGAGTGGCTTTTAGAAGCAATCGGTATTCAAAATTGCAGGCACGTGCTGATTATGATTCGTTTCAAGCAGAGCTGGAAGCTTGAAATCACATGAGGCTATGAATTACGACCGACAGTAGCTTCTTGGGCAGGGTCCTTGTAAAGTCTGTATTGAGAATGAATAGTACTCGATCCTACAAGGAGCCAAATGTCTTAGTTTTAGCAATTTAAGGTTAAGTGGTTAACCCTATAGCGACTCCCAGAAAGTTGGAACATGGGTTTAGGAGGATTAGTGCTAGGATCCCTTATGCTTTACCTTAAGAGCATGCGGAGAATGATGCTTCAAGTTTCTGGCTTCTACTATAGTCGCAGGAAGTGGATGAAATCGCCGATCGATTCACCCTCGGCGCTGGAGACACGCTGAGCCTTGGGGCCCAGCTGTGCCAAATCGAAGCCTCGAGAGGGTTGGGGGTGTAGGCTTAGGGTTGAGGGGTTTGGGGGTAGGGTTTGCAGGGTTTGCGGCATAACCTTAGACCCTGAACCTCGCTGATTTATGGTTTCGGGTGTGGGAAGTTTGAGCAAGTCCAAAATCTGCAATTTTCGCTTCGAGGCGTCGCTCTATCCATGTACCCTGACACCTTAAGAGCCAAACCTTGACGTGCTCTCAACCTGAATGTGGGTAACCCAAAATATCGCCCGCGCCCTGCCTCGCAGATGGCATGCTCATTGAAAGAACCGTAGACCTGCACCGTGAAGCTTAAAGCAAATCCCGTGCGGTTAAATTACTTACCCAACCCGTCATATGGGGCTTCGGTTCCGAGAGTTTGGTTGGGGTCCGAAAACTCATCAGCATTTTGGTGTGTTTGGGGCCTAGAGCTTTTGCGCAGTCCTGTTAGTATAGCTGGAAGGCAGTTACAGAGTTCTTGAGGTTGTATGTCATCTGGATGAAGCATGAGCATGGTGAATTATTGATTGTAGCTCACCTGGTTCGGTAAAGACTCTCGATCACAATCGCGTGACGCCTCCAAGCCATTGTGGTGAATGAGACTGTCGCGGTTTATAGGGCCTAGGATGGAGGATTAAGGCTTACAAATTAGGCAAATCTGCCACAACATTTTCTCGAACAGTTTCGCACCCTCGGTACACGCTCAGGACAGACCCAGACGGGAGTGACAGTAGCATTACTATCTTGTTGGGTTGGTGGTCACAAACCAACGAACAAACGCCCGCACTACACACCACCGTGAGCAGCCTCGTCCTGACCATCAAGCTCAATTAGAACGAGTTCTACTGTGACAACTACATACTTCACCAGTACTTCCTGTGCCTGGCCCAAAGCCGCCAATCCCTGAGTTCCAAACCCGGTAAACCTTAAATCTTGCCAAACCACAGACCCTAAATCCTAAAGGCTATGAGGAGTTTTGTGACATCGTGGGCACCTGAGCAACGGCGAGACATATCTGATGTGTCGGCTTTCTCTTTCGGGATGCGGCTCCGGGCCAGATTGCGCGGTAAGCATACATGCACATGCAGTTCCCTACTTATGCATGTAGAGACAGAGACGTTACGTATGCATGACTTGTGCGGAGTATGTGCATCTGTGAAGCTTGTATGGTCGAATGTTTCATTTTGTTATCATAGCATATCGTACCGCATGATTACCCGTTCAGGCTGCAGCCTCGCGATCTTACATGACCGCAGATGTTAGACTTGCGATCGGAGGAATCGTGGGCGAGGCCTTTGAGGTGGGTTTAGTGCGTCTGTGATTGGGCTGAGGCTGCAGGATGTAGTCTCACTAGGCGATGTAAGGTCTCGTCGAGTCGTGATTACTGCCTGAAGTATTGCCGTGCTCTGTTTAGAAGAGAAGTGGCAATTCATGCCAGTCTGAAAGTCGCATCCAAACTTTTGCCGTACCAACTGAGATACATGCGAAGCACAATCTGGCACCGTCAAAGGATTCGAGATAAATTCGCGACCCAAGGCGGCATCTTCGAGATCCTTGGGCCTCATGCGACCTTATAAGTTGCAATAGATTCTTTGTAATGCTATCTAGACGGATGGACTGATGGACAGGTAGATGGTTTAGGGTTCAGGGGATTAGGGTTGTTCAGAGTTTCGGGATGAAGACCATCAGCATGGTCCTCATCCTCCTCCTCCTCCTCCTCCTCCTCCTCAATCCCAGCAGTGCTGGAAGCCCCTTGCCCTTTGGACCGAGGCGGTTGGATTGCAGTTATGCATGACGGTTGCGTAGAGAGCTTGGGCAACCTTGTTGTCATAGCCCACACTTAGTTCGATTTGCAGGCGGCCACGAAGAGACCCTTCCCTGAATCCACGAGCTTGAACTAAGCCATACATGAGTTCAGAACAAGAGTATCACAAAATGCTACCTGAACTTGTACGGCCCTTCTCTTGCAGAGCTCGATTATGCAAAACCTTTAACCAACCATGGAACAAATCCTTCAAACAACCTTGATTGCAGCAGAACTCAGGTGGGTTCGGCAGAAGCAGATCCTTTCACTGAGACCATGGAAGCTGTGGAGGCGACTGTCGACTTAGGTTATGCAGTTATGCACGACTAGAGTGATCTTAGGGGTACTTAGAAATACTTTTTAATTTTGTGTTATTATAATCCCTACGAAACAGCTAAAATTATATTTTTGCTAGGGTTCTAAGTTCAGTATAGTGATTAGAACGCCAAAAGCATAAATTACAGCAACAAGCAAAACAAGCATGTTGTTATGGTGTGTTTCTTTCTGGTCTTAGTTCTGTTTTACAGTGTGGGCCGGAAATTCCCGAAACCCGAAACCCCCTGGGGTCTAGCCGTGCCTTGGGGCTGAGTCTTTGAGGAAACAGACATTCCCTGACACAATCGCCTTACCTCTGGTTAGTAGGGAATGGAAGACTCCCCATTCCTCCATTCCCTACTAACCAAAGGTAAGAACCGTTGAAGACAAATTGAGAGCCTGAGCCTCAACCACAATAGTGTTTCGGCGTTTGGGGTTAGGGGCTAGGCTGTTCAATCCGCCTCCCGACCACGCGTTTCCGACATGCTTGAAGTGACACAGCATACAGCTCCTAAACTCCTAGAAACCCTCAGCCCCAAACTCTAAACCCCAAGACCAAAACTTCTAAACTCCTAGAAACCCTAAGCCCCAAACTCTAGGGCTTTGGAGTCAGCGCTTTAGAGCTTCTGGCTTCACGGCTTGTAGGTCAGGTTCTTTTTTTTGCATTCAGGGATACTTCTTAGAGGGTCATGGGAGTTAGTAACTAGGGTTACAATTAACTCTTATGGTACCTATGACCATACTTACTATAAGTCCCATGATCCTCCAAGTTGAGCTGAGCAGCAGCGGTACAAAGCCTGAGGGGATACAGCCCTGTCATATAGAAGCCTGAAGAAGTTGCACTCCTATTCCTGAGGGCCTATTATGAAAACCATAATGACAGTAGCTATTTTAATTCTTACGGCCCTAAACCCTAAACCCTAAGCCCTATATTACTAGCCCTAGACTTCCAAGCTGAGCAGAGGCCTTCGAAGCTTAGGCTTCGAATCTGGCTCTCACGGGCCTCAAAGGGGAAAGGGAGGGACCCTTAATGGGGACCCCTACCCTATCATGGGCTATATAAGGGGTATATAATGGCTATATTAAGGGTATATTACCTAGGGGTCCTTATTAAGGGTCCCTCCTGTTCCTTGGAGGGCCTCAAAGGGTAGGATGAGGTAGGTGGGATTGGGTTTAGGGTTGCTCGAGGGTTTAGGGTTTCGAGCTTCTTACCCCTAGCGGCTAGCGTTAAACCGTAAGGGTTTGGGGTTTCGGCTGCGATGTTCTGTTTGAGATTCCCCGACTACATCCTGCCTTTCTTCGATCCTGCTAAGCTACCTAGGACAGTGTCTGGCTTTTGGGGCTGTGAGGTTTTGGGTTTTGGGTTTTGGGTTTGGGACTCTTCCTTAAGCCGTCTACGAACCTTGTGCTACCCAGAACGCGGCAGCATGAGTCCCTGTTAAAATGCCGCAGACGTCTTGCCAAATCCTAAATCCCCTTGACTTGCCCTCAACCCTAAACACCACCCCTAAATCCCTAAGCCCAGAGCCCTGAACTCCTGCGGAGAGACTTGAAAACAACCCGAAAGGAGCCCTTGTATAGATCCCTTGAAGGAGCCTTTATAAATCCCTTACAGTAGAAGCCCAAAAGTTAGAAACCCCAGAGCCTCCATCCTTAAGAGTAATGTATAGGGTTTCCCAGCACTATTTGATCCAGTTTCCAACTTTATGGGGTTTACTGTACCCCTAAACCCCTACTAGTACCCTTATGGATCCCTTGTAGCAACCTTCATAGGAACCCCTTAACTATACTAAACTTAGAACCCTACACCTCCCGGCCTTCTGCGGAGAGGTCGAGAAGGAAGACCGATCCTCGCGTGCGCGTGTGGAAGCGGTTCAGCTCGGGATCAACAGCTTCCGGCAGCCGGAAGCCCGAGATCTCTAGGGCTCCTTACAGGATATTATGAGATCTCTAGGGCTTCGTAAAGGATATTATGAGATCTCTAAGGCTACTTACAGGATATTCTGAGTTCTCTAGGGCTCCTTTACAAGGATCTTATGAGAAGTTAAGGGCTCCTTTATGCGGATATTATGAGAGGTTAAGGGCTCCTTTATAAGGATATTGTGAGAGGTCTAGAGCTCCTTCAAGTTAAGGATATTATGAGAGGTCTAGGGTTCCTTTCTAAGCATATTCTGAGGGTTACTTTAAGGATATTCGGAGGGTTCCTTTGAGGATGCCATGAGGGGTTCCTTTAAGGACGCATGTTTCAAGGAATTGCTCTAAGAGCTGCTTTAAGGGTTCTGTGTTAACGAGTTCCTTCAAGGGTGGAGGAGCTTGTGGCTTATGATCGTAGTTGTAAAGATGGCAGTGAAGCATGAAGTATCTTGAAGTCGTAGTCAAGATGCCCGAAGTGGCAGTGGTGAACTTTGTTTAGATTCGGAGAATATTTAATAAATTCGCTCTAATCCCACTATGCCCCAGGGGTTTAGGGTTTAGGGTTTGCGGTTTAGGGTTTAGGGTAAGCACGGGCAGTAACCCCAACGCTCCTAACACCCTGGACCCTGAGTCTGAAACCCTAAGCCCAGCACCCCCAACAGTTCCTAAGTATGTGGGAGTTTCCGAATATTAGGGGTACCTCCTTTAAAGGGTTACTATAAGGCTACTATAAGTTTCTATAGGCTTTGGGGTTTAGGATCTGGGAGTTTCCGAAAATTAGGGGTACTGTATCTTGTTTTTGGGTCCTTATCATAAGGATCCTATTATTTAGGGTACTATATTAGGGTCCCCAAAACCCCCATGTAGCCTCAAACACCTCGCCAATACTAATCGGCCCTGGCTGCCAACTTTGATACATGGGGTTATGTGGAGGGAGGGAGGGAGGGAGGGAGGGAAGGTTCTTTCCGAAGGCTCTTCTTGAAAAAACAGTGCCTTAAACCCTGATCCCTACAGCCTAAACCCTTAAACCCGAAACCCAAGTATACTTCTGGCATAGATTTGGCTCCTTTCGTTGCTGCAACTCCCAGGTTCTGACAGTTCAGACCCCGTCGCCGGAGTCCTGAGCCCTCAAACAAAAGCCCAGCGGTTCAAGTTTGATTAAGAAACCTTGGGGCCTTGTTCGGGTTCTTAATATGGATCTAAATATTGGTGTTACAGGACCAGGGTTTCTTAATCAGCTTCCTACTTCCTACATTGTTACATTAGGGGTTTAGGGGTTTCGGGTTTAGGGGATGCGGGTTTAGGGTTTTAGGGGTTTGGATGTAGGGGTTTGGGGTTTGGGGTTTAGGCTCAATTCTTGCCCCCCCGCCCCCCCTCAGGATCTGCGATCGCCGGTACGCCTCCATGCGCGAGTCTTTCCGAGTCATGCCCGGCTATTTTGCGGAGCACCGCACCTCTTTTGGACTAAACTCTAGTGGCCCTACTCCCAACCCTAAACCCCTAAACCCTTAAACCCCTACACCCTGCATTCTGTGGCAAATCGTGAAGGCACAGCTTGGGTTGTCAGGGGAAGGTCCCAGAGTTGCACGAAGCCTGGGGTTTCAAGGATTCAAGACTTACCTGTAGTCTCCATTGTAGTTCCTTTTTTGGGTTACCTTAAAGGATCCTTAATATATAATTGGTTAAGCCAAAAAAAGGAACTCCAATGGAGACTATAGGTAGGGGCTCGCACACGGGAGTTTGTCCAGTTAGTTGGTGTAGGGCGTTGCGGGGTTTGAGGTTTTGGGGTCTAGGGCTCTGGGGTTTGGTGTTTTGGTTTCGGCATGGGGTTTCAAGGGTTCTTGTTGAGACTCGTAAGTGGTTTGGTGTGGGATTCGGGGTCTGGGCGAAGGGTGTCGACTTTCGAAACAAAGGCTTAGCAGAGTTGGATGTCAGGGTCCTCGCCAGTCCTCCACCTTGTCCTCTAAACCTTATGCCTGAGGATTGTGCTGCAGGAGGTTCTACTGTAAAATAGAAGCCTGAATGAATAGTTGTGCAATACTTGTAACTTTCCTCAGGGCTCCGTAAGATGTACCAAAACCCAAAAAACACAGTCAAAGCTCAAGGCTTCCAAGTCATGGTTCGAGTCCTTGTCCGCCGGTTTCCCATCCGAGATGTGAAACAAGCCATCGCATGCACTCTGCACCCGAATACAGGAGCGTAAATAATTACCAATACTATTTTGGGTGTCCGTTCTATAGTGAAAATTACCCAAAGCCTTGTTCTAATAAAAAAGGCCCCTTTAAATCCTCGAAACTCGAAGAGATCCCAAAACCATGCGGCGCAGGACCATGACCCATAGCCACTGTGAAGCCCCGGCACAACGACCTCAACGCAAGTTAAATTAAGGGTCCGGGGTTTAGGATTAGACCCACGGTCTCAATCTCCATCCAAATTGTCAAACCCAAAGCGTCCAAGTACTAGCATAGTCAGAACAGTGTATACTTCTGAGGCCCAGCTATCTATTAAGTACCTGCTCGGACCCTTTGGGAAAGCTACAGTGAAACCAGCCAGGCTTTGGACAAGTCGCGGCGCTCGTCGCTGTCGCCGCAGGCCTCGTAGGGGTTCGAGAAGGATGTGCCTAGGGTCTATGCAGGGTTTACGGTGGATAGTCTTGTTGGGTCAGAACTGGAGCTTCAGATCTTGAGAGCTTGCGGCATACAGGATGTGGGGACCTTGGGTGAATACGGGCTTCGGCCAAGGTTTGTAGGGTTCAGAGCTGAGAGGTCAGGGCTTTGGGCTTTAAGCCCTTGGAAGTACAAGTTAGCAGTGACCTGGTTGAGCCTTCGCATAATTCGAACCAATGCGATAGGTCAACCAAGGGTTTGGGGTCGATAACCAAAGTTTAACTGCTGATGTTTGTATGGTCTTCGGTGCAGGGTCAGGTGTTTGCAGGATGCAAAAGTTTGGTGCTGTAGTATGTCGAGTGAGTTCATGCTCAGGCTGATGGTGCAAGACAGTTTGGAATTATGGCCTCTGTATGAGTTCACAGGACTTCGGAAACAGCAGTAGTGACCAAGAAACCCCTGTTCAAGCGAGATTGGCGTGTCATGGCGTGTCAAACATTGCAAGATACTTCTAACCGACGAAAACCCTGCACCAGGTTTCATGACCATTTCATAGTTACCCTTTCACCCAATCTGTTCAGGGGAAGTGGTTTGGTTTAGCTTCTAGCGTCTATTACCCCAACACTTGTGGCTGCCGAAAAGCCTTGAACACTTTACATCTTTCATCACGCCCTGCGAGATCGTGCACTTGTGGCTTCGCGGTTGCGGCTCCTGCATTTTCATGAAGCCACGACGGCCCTCAACTGCCCTCCGTGAACCAGAATACCTCGCATGCTAAGCTGAAAACCGTAAACCCTAATCTATACCCTGCACCCCAAACATTCAAGTTTAACCGCTAAACTAATGCCCTACACCCCAGTAACTCCAAACCCCACCTGTACCAAAGGGTGTAGGGCGGGGTTTAGGTGAAGCCCAAGGCCTAAACCCTAATTTTTGAACAGTGAGGAGTTCGCTCATGGACTCAGTTCGAAGCTGAGGGCGCTTGGTGGAATCAGGGCCTGCATGATGGTTCTCAGCACGGTTGTTAAGATTCAGGGTTCAGGGGTTTAGGTATTTAGGGTTTAGGGTTTAGGGTGTAGTGCTTGAAAAGAGGGTTTTGCTGATTTAGGCGTTTCCGGTGGAGTGGGTCCGAGCCGGTAGGGCGTTAGGGGTCAAGAGGGGGACACAACGCAGGGTTTACGAACCCGATAACGCCGTACTCCTGATTGCAAATTCCTTGTTCGGTGCCTTAAAAAGGCAGGATATTGGGGGGAGAGACAGGCAGGGTTCAACACATTAGATTTCGGCTGTGATAGTTTGGCTTTGGCCTCGATACTTTTAGACCCGGGGTTTCCTAAATAAGGATTACTGCATAGCATATTTTGCTTATGCTGTTTACAGCATATATATATATATATATATATATATATGTATATATATATAGTTGTTTCGAAGATTGTTTTGTGAGGGCAGTAGCCCACACGACAAAGATACCCGGGGTGGCAGGCGAAGTTCGTTTTCGGGTTCAGCTGAGTGGACATAGGGTACGAGCCCCCAGGGGTAAGTGGTAGAGGCAGAAACCGTTGTTAAATCCTGAAAGAGGAAGCTCTAAGTCCGTAAAATCTGTAACACCGTAGAAGTGGTTTCGCAGGCAGCTGCGAGCCCCGACGGCTTGTGGCTTCACATTGTGCCTCGCTGACTCATCTGCAAGAATAAATTAGGGCCACAAGCACGGTACTCCCCAAATAACATGGCCGAGCCTAACAAGCATCAACATCGGCTTCGCCCTCTCCATTAGCATCTTCTCGCCATCGGGATCATCACCATGGTCACCCAGAGAGCCCAATACCCCTTAATTGAGAAATATGGCTTAAATTATATAGGGCTTCATATTCCTCAATTAAGGAATATGGCTTAAATTATATAGGGCTTCATATTCCTTGATTAAGGGATATGGCTTAAATTATGTAGGGCTTCATATTATGATTTAAGCTATATTCCTTAATTACGGGGTATTGGGCTCTCTGGGCATCTTCAGCTTCACGAAGTCAGCACCGCTTGCCATGATGGTACGACTGGTGCGAGCTTATCCAGAGACTCCAATATCCCTTAATCAAGGAATACCTAGGGTTCCTTTAAGGGATCTATAACGGATCTATAGGCTTAGGGTTTAGGGGATCCTAATATCCCTCAATGAAGGAATATTCCTTAAATCATATTAGGGATCCTATTCTAGTTTAAGGAATATTCCTTAATTAAGGGATATCTGAAACCCCAGGCCTAAACCCGCAAGCTCCAAAACCCTGAATCCTGAAGCGGACCGGAAAACCCATGGCCCCAAGGCTACTGGGCCCAATCTGTAGTGAAGTAGTGTTCCACTGCTTTTTCCGTACATCAGTGATGTTCGGCAAAACCCAACCCTGAAGCCTAAAGCCCTAAACCCAAAACCCCCAAACCCTAAAGACGCCCCCCAAAATCCAAGAAGTCCCGAGCCGACCGAGGCATGCATGGCATCAACTTCCAGCCCGCGGAGCTCCAGGAGAACTCCGGAATCGGGCCTTTCCTTTAGGGCTTTTAGGGTTTAGGGATTTAGGGGTTTAGGGTTTAGGATCTAAGGCCTTAGGGGCTTAAGTATTACATATACTAACTGTTTTTTTTTTTTTTTGTTGGGGGGGGGGGTCCTTATTAGAGTTATCGTAGAATGGACCCCAAAAGCCTGTTCGAATCATTAAGGCCCCCTGTATACGGGACTTTCGGGCCTTTGGGGTTTAGGGGTTTAGGATTTAGGGCCTTTCCGCAGGGTTTAGGGTTTGGGGTTTAGGGCTTTAGGGTTTAGGGCGTATGGTTTTGAAATTAGGGTGGTTGGTTTGGGGTCTAGGGTGTGAGCTAATACTTGGTCTGGCCTCACAGCCCACAACCGAAGCCTTAACCGAAACGCTCCCTGCTATCAGAGTTCCTTTGCGGGCTTTCTTTCAGGGATCTGCAGTTTATAGGGGTTTAAGGTTTCGGGTTCGGGAGACGGAAGTTTGCCCCTGCTCTTGTAGTTGGTTTATTGTTTAGGGCGGCTTAGGTCTTATAGTCATAGACAGTAGCTAAAGTTACTATAGTTACGTGTTACAGGGTGACTATAGTAATGCATTACATACGTAAGTGCTGTCCCGAAGCCTATATGGCTTTGATACTCCCGAAGCCGGTGGTTTACGGCTCAGGCCGAAAGTTTCGACATGCAGCTTATAACATAGATGTATGCCGCGGAGAGGCGGAGAGCCCCAAGACCCATTTTACGTGGCCAGCGTGGCGGAGTAATTACTTTCCGGGAATAAATTTATACTATTATATAGTTTCCGGCGGAGAGCTTTGCGGGGTTGTGCTAGGATTCTACGGGGGGAAAGGGGTGAACATGTGGTGATCTCTCAACTTCATGTTGTATGGCGAACTTTCGTCCTGCGGTAGTATGTATGTATGCGTGTATATATATATATATATATATACACACACACAGACACATCTGCCTTAGTAATCTGCAGAAAACAACATCAAAACAAGGTCGCAATAGAAAGGACAGTAGACATTAATGTAGGAACCTGATTAAGAAACCTTGGGCCTTTATTAGGTAATATGAATCCTACTATTTTGGGGGGGGTTATAGGTCCAGGGTTTCTTTTACATGTGATGATGCAGAGAAGGCAGCAGCTGAAGTGCATGATGGGATTGGCAGTAGCTTTGAGATGTACGAATTTTAAGCTCTTGGGGCCTAGGCTTTAAGCCCTGACCCCGCAACCCTGGAATTCGAGCAAGTTTTACGTAGAATGTTTGACAAACTTTCGCCAAGAGTACTACGGTTGATGATACAAATCCTGCCTGACCTTAAGGACCCTAAACTATGGGAATTACGGTATATTCCTTATTATGGGTATTGCAGGATTTATATCATCAACCGTAGCAGTAGTCACAATGTTTGGACAGGCAGCAGCAGAGCTAGAGCTGCAGGGTTTGGGGTGAGCCAGGGTTGAAGACTGAAGGGAACGGGCTGGGATGCCTGGCATAACGTTTCCCAGAGACTCCAACATCCCTTAATTGAGGAATATACCATAAATTATACTAGGGCCCCGAATATGATTCAAGGTATATATCAAGGTATATTGGAGTCCCACCTTAAATCTGCTCTGCCTACTTGGAGGATCATGGGACTTAGTGTGGTTATACGTACCGTAAGAGGGGTTATAAGTAATTATCAGTACAGCTACCTTAATTATAACCCTAGTTACTAAGTCCCATGATCCTCTAAGTACCCGAAGCCATGAAACCAACAGCGCGCCATCGCAGCATTTTGCTCGAAGAACGCAGATTACGGGCACTAGGCCGAATTGAAGCCCGTCCTAGTCTGGTCCCCGGCACGCGTACAGGGAACTCCAGAAAGTTGGAATATGGTTTCATGGTAGGATACCCTATAATTTACCATAGAAGGGTTAGGATAATCATATTCCAACTTTCTGGCTTTTACTGTAACGTGAGGATGTAGGGAAGACGGGCTAAAGGGTTTAGAGGGATTTGGAGTTTAGTGCTTGGGGGTTTAGGGGTCTGGGGTGTAGGGGTCTAGGGTTTGGGGTTCAGGGGTTGAGGGGTTTCGCGTATGGCTTTAGGCTATCCGCTCCCATTATGCCCTTTAGCACCGGAGTTTCCAAAAAAAGAGTTACCCAGGAAGGAATTGTTTGGGCTGAGGGCTTTGATTTTTTCGGGTTTAGTGATCTCGGCGCCCTAATCGCCAGCACGGATGTATGCGTGTATGCATGCATGTAAGCATATACGCATGTATGTATGTAGCCTATGTATGTACGTACGTATGTACGTGCGTATGTATTTATGTATGTATGTATGTATGTATGTATGTATGTAACATGTGTATGTATGCATGTATGTATGTGTGTATCTGTTGTTTCTCATTCTTCCTTCGTTCATAGAAAGTAACCATGAATCAGCGCGGTGGAAGATAACACTGTCCTGAACCTAAAGCCCTCAAATACGAAATAATTGAAACCCTAACCACGAAACACAGGGTTCAGGGTTGTTAGGGTTCTAGGGTCTAGGATTCAGGATATTAAGGGGTAATTATGTGTCCCCGCAGTCCCGAAACCACCAACTCTGACTTCTCGAGGTAAACGGATGGCTTGCCGGTTGCCCGTGGGAAGGCCCCAGCAGCACTTGTTCAAGGGTTCGGGACGCAGAATCGCTGATGACACCGACTTTTTTTGTGTAAGGCCCTTCAATCTCTTAGTAGCTGAGTGGATACACTTTACACTATTTTTGGTAATACTACCCACTATAAAACTAAAAGTGTGCACTTTTGGGGACTTATGAACTCAGCAACTAAGATTAAGAGCTCTTCAGCTTAATGCTCCAGGTCGCCATCCCCAACACTCCCAAGACAACTCTTTAATTTTCATAGGACTTCGGCACTTAATGCTTAAGGATTTTTGATGAGCTTGCGAGTTAGTATCAGGACACGTAATGCCCGTTAGCGACCTAAACCTTGCACAACAATCCAGGCTTGCTTTGATGCAATCTAGCAAAGCACCAACCCTGGACGAACATGCCCAAGACGTCGGGTTGATGGTTCCGGGTTTACGGTAAGGCACTAAACCAACAAACCCGACCCCCGAAATCCTAAATCTACAGCAACATGCCCCAAACCGTAAGTCCTAGACACCCCAAACTCATATGAGCTCTCTGCTATCATACCCGCCCAATAGGGTTTTGGGGTTTAGGGTTTACGGTTTCGAATACCAGCATCCTCATCCCGTCTGCCCCCAAACATCCAACACACCAGGCAGCCAAGGTTGGCGGATCAAGTAAGCCCCTAAACTCCAAACCTTGAAGCCTGAAAGGATCGCATCTGTCCACTGCCCCCAAACCGGATAATAGTTGCAAGCACTACTTGGGTGTTCCTTTTTACAGTTATAGTACACTCTGTTCGAATTAGTATGGCCCCTATATACTTACAAGCCCTGGTGCTCTCAAACCTCCAAATGCAAAGGCCCTACAGCCCCCGACTCTTCACCAGAAGCGTAGCGCCCGTTTTCGAAGCACGAGAAAGCAATGCCGAAGGTAAGTCGTTTGAGGCCCTGCGCCCTAACACCCCCAAACCCTAAACCTTAGACCCTCACCACCTAAATGCCTCAGCCCCAAACCCTGTACGGTCTAGAAAGTACTTCCCGAGTGAGTGCCGGAAAGGCTTGGCCCAGCTTCGGTGCTCTTGGCTGCAAAGATGGATTTCTAGGCAGTTTAGGGTGGTTGTGCGGGACGGTTCTGGGTGCCTTTGCGGTTTTTGGATGAGGATTGGGCGGGTCGGAGTTTTAGTTTTTCGAATTTCGGTGGGCCCTGCTGCAGTTGAGATCAAACACCCCGGCTTCCAAGTCATGGCAAGCCCGTCGCACCGCCCTTAGCCCCAAACGCTGTACCCACAATCCTGAAACAAAATTCCAGCAGCAGGTATGAACTTGGGAGCTCTTACCTACTACTACTACTACTACTACTACTACTACTACTACTACTACTACTACTACTACTACTGCTACTACTGCTACTACTGCCACTACTACTGCAACGGCTTCTACTGCTGCTACTACTGCTACTACTGCCACTACTACTGCAACGGCTTCTACTGCTGCTACTACTGCTACTACTACTACTACTACTACTACTACTACTACTACTACTACTACGACTACTACTGCTACTACTGCTACTACTGCCACTACTACTACAACGGCTACTACTGCTACTACTACTACTACTACTACTACGACTACTACTGCTACTACTACTACTACTACTACTACTACTACTACTACTACTACTACTACTGCTTTTGATAGTGCTCACACCACAAATAATACTCATAATGCCAATTCTCTTAAGATTGCCAGAAATTTCAGAAGTATCATCAGCGAGTCGAAGCCGCACTGCTGCATGTCCTGGACTTAACATCAGCATCTGCGGCTTTATGCACAGCGCCCATCTTCATGGAGGCTTGCAGGTCAACGTGTGCCATGACCGAGCCAAGGATAACGTCGAAAATTCCGTGTCCATGGAAGCCCAGGCGCAGTGGTAGTGGCAAAAGTCGATTCCACACCTAGGCCTTCTAGCATGGCAGTGGCAGTAGTAATGCGAGCAGTAGAAGTAGCAGTCGTCGTCGTGGTGGTTATTCTTGTTGCTATTGCTGTAGCTGCAGTGGCAGTCGTCGTCGTGGGAGGTGTTGGAGCAGGAGCTGTAGTAGTAGTAGCAGTAGTAGCAGTAGTAGCAGTAGTAGCAGTAGTAGCAGTAGTAGCAGCAGTAGCAGTAGTAGCAGTAGTAGTAGTAGTAGTAGCAGTAGTAGTCGTAGTAGTAGTAGTAGTAGTAGTAGTAGTAGTAGTAGTAGTAGTAGTAGCAGTAGTAGCCGTTGTAGTAGTAGTGGCAGTAGTAGCAGTAGTAGCAGTAGTAGCAGTAGTAGTAGTAGTAGTAGCAGTAGTAGTAGTAGTAGTAGTAGTAGTAGTAGTTGCTGTTGCGGTAGTAGCAGTAGTAGTAGCAGTAGCAGTAGTGGCAGTAGCAGTCGGGTGGTAGTGGGTTGAGTGATAGTGGTCGTGAAAGCATCAGCAGCAGCAGCGTCGTGAATTCCAATGTTTGTTGACTCCGTCATCCCGAGCCCTAAAGCATGTAACGGGTATCTTTCCTTTGGCCAGGGCCTGCGAACACCTACACCCCGAGGCTCTTGTGGAAGAGTTGGGGGCTCTTGGAAGTGGTAAGGGTTTATGCTTTAGCGGTCTGCAGGGTTCCGGTCGATCGGGTGGCTCAAAAGTGGGAAGTTAGGCAGTGTTTACGAACCTAGCTAGCGGTTTAGAAGCCGTTGTGAACCTTCGGTTTGGGTGATCTGCTCATCCTCTGAGGCCCAAACCCATACCCACATGCAAACTGCCGAGCCCCGCAGAAGACAAAAGCCCTAAGCCGAACCGCCAAGCCTCATCGACTATGAGCTTCTTGAATCTTGTGCTGCTGCCACATTAGCCCTCTCTCTCGTGCTCTTGCTATTGCTGTTGATTTTGCCTGCCTTTTCCTGTTGTCTTTGCATGTCAATACAATCGGCATGTTCCTTACTTACTTGCTTTTCGGCTCCGCACCCACACCTGGATTCGTGACTGCTGGGTAGGGTTATAGTGTAGGGCTTGCGAAGGGGCCTTGTCGAGGGCAATGGGCTGCAGCTTCCGCTGAGAAGTCGTCCGGCATTCAGGGTTGAGGCTTCCTGGAGCACAAGCAACTACTCTTACCCTCTTCACAGTTCTTCTTGGGTACTTTTTTCCCTGCGATGGGACTTCTTTACCCAGACAGTTTCACACTGTCGCATTGCACTCCCGACCCCCACCTGCCCTAGCACCCAGCAGACAAGCCCTGCTTTATCCAACGCACTATTCCTACCCCCCCTCCCGCTACCACCCTAAATTTCCCGATGGAGCTATCAGGATACAAGCTACCATAAATGGTAGGATCCTTACTATAAGGATCCCCAAATAAGGTACCCCTTGATGTAAACCCACCAGAAGAATCAACTCAATCAAACCCAGGCCGAACCTTTTAAAGGCCCTCCGCAAGGCCTATAAACCTTCAGAAAACACTGCCAAAGCCTTTCAAAAAGCCTAGAAAAGCGCAGGAAGCCTTAAGGAAATCTAGCACGCCCTCTAAACCCTTACAGCTGAACCCTGAACCCCAAGTCATCCCCGGCCCCAAACCAACAAAAATCCACCGGCCGAACCGTGTAAACCCCAAACCCTGAAAATTGAGCCCCCAACCGTCAACTCCATAAATGGATAGTTGTCAAAATTATTGTCCGTTGCTGGGTATCCTAACTATTCGGTGCTGTATTACATTAAGAACCCAAAAAAGGACCCTAATTTTGACAACAGCCCAAATATAGAACCCACGTAAACCGGTTTAAAGGAGCCTCTATAGATCCTGTTTAAGAGACCCGTTATAGATCCTTGTGAAAGGACCCCTTATAGCTCCCTTAAAAGGAATCACCCTAAACCTCCAGAGATAAACCTTGAATCACCACAAAAGTCCCCGAGATCCCTTTAAAAAGGATCCCTTATGGATCCCTTTAAAGGAACCCTAAACCAACCGTGGTATCCCAAACCTTAAACCCGATAACCCTAAACCCCCAGATAGGAACCCTTATAGGAACCCTTATCCTCCCCCCAAAATTGCCCTAAACCCCTAAACCCTTCTGAATCACCACAAAAATTCAAAAAGAGCCAGGAAGGCGCTGCAGCACCCCCCGAACGCCAGCTGCCCCCAGGCTCCTCGTCGACCGTTCCCTTTAAAGGGGATGTCTAAGGGTTTTGGAGATCAGGGGTTTAGGGTTCAGGGGTTTAGGGTTTAGGGTTGGATTTAGCGCTTAGGGTTTAGAGTTGGGTTTAGGGTTTACGGTCATGAGGATTTAAGGTTCCTTTAAAGGGGATCTCTAAGGGTTTGGGGTTCAGGATCTTCAGGGTTTTCGAGGCTCGGAGTTCAGGATCTGAAGGAGTTTAGAGGTTTGGGGTTTAGGGTTTAGGGTTTAGGGGTTTAGGGTTTAGGGTTTAGGGGGTTGGGGTTTTGGATCTATTGTAGACGCCTTCACGTCAATCCATCTTGGTTTGAGTTGGCTGGTGAGCGGGGCTGTATGTCGCGAAGCTTCGCTTCAGGTTGCCATCTTCGGGACTGGTTTAGGGTTTAGGGTTTAGAGCTTAGGGTGAGGGAGTGTATAAGCTCCTCACTTCTCCAGCCACTGAAGAAACAAAATCCCAGAGCCAAAGCACCACAAGTTTAAGGGCGCAGGCACGGAAACCGAGATACGATCCGGGAAGCTAACTCCTGCATGCATGTATGTGTGCAAGTATGCATGTATGGTATTTATGCATGCATGCATGCATGCATGCATGCATGCAGGAATGCATGTGTGTATGTGTGTATGCATGTATGTATGCATGTATGTACGTATGTATGACGTATGTGTGACGTATGTATGTGTGTATGTATGGGGTGTAATGGAATGAAATATCGAGTGTAACGGAATGTAAGGGAGTTAATTAAGTGTATGTAGTTATGAATGTTTGTATGTGTGTATGCAGGTGTGTATGTGTATGAAAACATCTCTCTCTCTCTCTCTCTCGCTCTCTCTCTCTCTCTCTCTCTCTCTGTCTCTCTCTCTCTTCCATAATTATGCACATATGCATACATGTACGTACATATGTGAATGATACAACTGCACCCATGTGTAGGTCACCCAGACAGATGGACAGACGGACGGGCAGACACAGACTGCGCACACGGACACGCAGACAGAAAGACACACAGAAGCACGCACAACAATGACAGACGAAGCAACACACACACACACAGGGAGACACCCCAAATTTCGACTTGAAGTTTCTTTGGACTTGGTCATGTGCCTTACTAAACGGGTTGGGCGCAGCAGGACACTTGGAGGAGGTACCAGGTACCAAGCCTTGTGTACTTCCCAGTAAACCCCGATAGCGAGTATTGTTTTTTTTGCATGAATTTAGTGTATTGCGATAACTGCTTAACTCTGACTATGGTTATGAATAACTCATTTGTTGGTTTTTTGCCGTCAGTTTCCGAACCCTAACCTCCGCATCTGGGAAGCACTCGCCGGTTGACAGGCCTGCTGCAGTGCCGATGATGATGAAGGACGGACTTACGTTTGGGCTTAAGTTTCTGGGATTTGGGATGTTTTTGTTGGGAGATGGGGGTCTGCTTACACGTTGAAGGTGCTCAGGATCACAGGGTCTAGGAATTGAGGTCAGCCCTAATCCTCAACCATGAATAAACCATCAAACCTAAATTCTTATGGTGATGCCCGTATTATAAGAACTCTCAAAAACACACTTATATGGCGATACCCTTTTATAGGAACTCTTAAAGGAACCTTTATAGATCCCTTATCAGAGGAACCCTTTTTGATCCCTAACAATTATAGGAGCTTTTTGAGGGAACCCTGATAGATCCCTTGTAGATCCCTTACATGGGTCTACAGCAGAAGCCAGAAAGTTGGAACATCGTTATCCTCATACCCTCAAGGTAAAGTACAGGGAATCCTAGCACTAATCCTCCTAAACCCATGTTCCAACTTTCTGCGATCTACTACAGGTTCCGTTCCGGGTCTACCTATAGTCTCCATTGTAGTTCCTTTAGAGGAACCCTTTTTGATCCCTAACTATTATATTTGATAGATCCCTCATAGATCCCCTATATGGGTCTATAGGTACCCTTTTTCGGCCCCCTGGTTGCAATGCTCAGTCGGAAGGTTCGGATGTTCGGGGCTTCTTCCCCAGAGACTCCAATATCCCTTAATTAAGGAATATTCCTTAAACCATATTAGGGATCCTACTATAACTTAAGGAATATTCCTTAATTAAGGGATATTGGAGTCTCTGGGTCTACTGGCAAAACCCGAACCGCGAGCTCTGCTGTACCCGCCAGAGAGAGGTGTGTGTTTTTTTTTTTTTTTTTGGGGGGGGGGTTTGGGGGTTTTGGATTTTGGGTAGTTTTGGGCTTAAGGTTTAGGGTTTCGGGGGTTTAGGATTTTGGGTTTTAGGCTTATAGGGTTTTGGGTTTTGGGTTTTGGGGTAGAATGCTTCTTCCTAAACAAAGAGCATCCGTCGCCCAGGCTTTGTACGTATGCCGGACGTTTCTGCTTCTAACCCAGCTTGCGCCCTAAGCTCTAAACTCTAAACCTTACTCCCAAACTCTACAAACCCAGTCTTCTTCCCCAGCCCGTATCTTTCAAAACTAAGACCCTAATCCCCCGAACCGTTGCTTTGCAGGCTTTCGAGGGTCGACGGGCAGACGGAAAAGAAACCCAAACCACCTAAGCCCGATCTGCGATGTGGCAGACGAGGTTTTGTTCATGCTGAGAGTTCAGGCTTTACTTACATTTGGTTAGTATGGAATGGAGGAATGGGGCACGATTATAACTACTATTACTACCATTCTTCCGTTCCCAACTAACCAAAGGTAAGTTTAGGCGTTCAGGGTTTGTGGGCCGTAGGAGTGAAGGGGCTCATTCCGAGTTTGGGGGTCTAGCAGGCAGGACTAGAACTGGTATTTGCAGAGGGGGAAGCATCGCCCTGACTCTTAAGGCTTACGGAAAAGCTTACCGTTTAGGAACCCTAAGCCCAAAACCTAAAACCCAGTTTTCGGTTTAGGGGGTCCTGGGGCAAGATGACGGAGCTTCCAAGCCAAACTCGGAAATTCGAAAACAACCGGCGAATGTCAGACCCTCGCGAAGCGACAAGAAGTCGGTCCGTGTAGAAACGAAGTAGTACCACATGATCAAGTATAGCAGAACTTACTGGATACATGCACGTAAATACATACATACATACATACACACATACATACACACATACATACATACATACATACATGCATAACTACGTTATCTCTCCTAAGTCCTACTCACCAGCCTGCCCTCAGTGGCCTCCAGGTCTTAGGAAACAACACCTCCAGCCTGGGCCTCAGCACCCATGAGCTTTGCTTCTAGCCTGTGGGGTTTGTGAATTTGGCACGAGACACCGAGGTACTGAGAATGTTGCCGTTGTGGATTTCCTTCGTCATCGTGACGGCGATCTGTTTTTACTACTTACTTTCAATACCAATCGCGCTGCTTCTCGTGACAAACAAAGCATTACTCGTTCTGGGCGATTGCCTTGTTAGCATCTGCACGTTTCCGTGCCCCCTGTTTGTTTTTTTCAGCGGCTGTGTGGATGTTGGGCTTATTTTTCTTGTTTGTGTTTCGTCCTTCGTCCTTTGAAACACAGACCTTGAGGTCGGGCGGTGCTTCGGCGACAGCTGCGTAAAAGTCTTAGCCACGGATCAGTTTGTTTGCTTGCGTTTTTGTGGGCGGGGGGGGGGGGCGGGTGTGTCAGTGTGTGTGGGCGGGAGTTTTGGCCGATGGTGTTTGCATGTGTATGTGCGCGCATCTGTGCGTAGCCCGGTGTGTACAATACACGTGCAGGCAGACTCTAGACCTCCATGCACCCTAAGGGCCCTACACCCTGGATCATGGTGGTGCTTTTGTTGTTGTTAACATGCCGGTTCCGGAGGCTAAACCCTAGACCCCTAAACCCCGTAAACCCCGCGAAACCCTAAAACCCTAAACCCTATCTGAAACCCCAAACCCCTAAACCCTAAATCCTTCAAAAAAGATCATAAGCCCCAGACAGGCTTCGCATTATCCTGAGGCGAGAAGAAGCTGAAGTCACTTGAGGCCATGCTCATTTTCGATCCCGAGGCCCCGCTTTGGGGGGTTTAGGGTTTAGACAATTTAGGGTTTAGGGTTCCTTTAAGGGCTCTGTAGGCGATGCCAATAAGGGTTCAGGGTTCCTTTAAAGGGTTCTATAGGGGATGCTAGAAGGGTTTAGGCGGTTTTAGGGGTTCAGGGTTTAGGCTTGGAGACTCGGGGTTTGGTGTGACTCTCGTTGTGTTTCTTATCTCTGGGCCTTTGTGGGATTAGCTCCACTGGTCTTCCAAATGAGTTTGTTTTCTATTTTCTTGTGTAGGATGAGTGATCTGGTGGAGTCATGCTTGTGGCTGGCTGTAGTCATACCGCCAGCGGCATAAATACGCCCGTCATCCTCGTTATCAACAGATCATCGTCGTCATCAGAGTTATTACCGACAAAATCACCATAAGCACCATCACAAACACGACCACGGTCGTCTTCAACATCAATAGCAGCACCATTACCATCGCCATCGCCATCATCCTCATCATCACCATCATCACAGTTTGTCCTTCATCATCATGCCCAACATCGCCATTTCAGTCACCAGCATCATGACTCATCTAGTGTATGACGGGGCATAGAGGCACAAAGACGGTCATCATCGGGTGAAGCAAGACGCAGTGAGCCAGGTTGATTACTCTGTGCTCATTTCAAGGCCGCATGGCCATGCGGTCCAGGTCGTCAGGCGCACCCTCTTTGGCGGTTGTGCGAGTTTCGTCGTCTACATGGGGTGAACCCCCCTCCCAAGTTTTTCGCCGGTAGGACACCGATCAACCCTCAGGGCTTTGGCCTTCCTGGCACCCTAAGTGCCCTAAAGCCGAAGCAAAAAGAAAGCCAAAGCCTTAAACCCGTCCGCACAGGCTGCTACCAGCCCATTTGAGGACCACGAGTTCGAGACCCCACTTGCCTTTGCTGTTAAGTGCGGCGTCTGCGACTTCCAGGTGCAGCGGGAAACTATAGCTTGAAACGAGGAGTTTAGTGAGTTTAGCGTGTCTTGGGCCACCTTAAACCCTACGCCCACCTAAGTCGGGGCGTAGGATCAGGTACTTTTGAGTACATGGTGACAAGTGTGGGTCCAGGACTCTTATTGTTTTTAGGTGGAGGGATTATCTTGATGTCTCTTTTTGTTCGTTCCAATTCGGGCTTCACGTATGCGAGCTCAACCCAAGATCTACATTGACTCGAGACTATCTGACTCGCACGGTTTCAGAAGCGGTGTAAGCCTGTTCCAGGTTGATGTTGGGGAGGATTAGCCACACAGGTATGGTTCCGCTACAAGGCCCTTCAGGCAGCTCTTGCATCAGTATTAGGATAACCATCACAGCCATCACCATCATCAGCCGCAGCAGCATTATCATCATGACCGTCATCATCATCATCGTCAACATCAGCATCGTCATCAGCACCATGACGACAAGAACTCTACTAGCAATAGAAGTAAGAGTGGCAACGATAAGAGTAAGAATAACAGTAGTAGCAATACGGTAACTATGATAACCATCTTCCCGCATCATCTACATCAGCACAGTACCAACCAAACTCTTAAACGCTTTAAAGTCATATAAATACAGCGTAATGGCAAGAGCAACCACCATGATATCAACAATAAAAGTATTCATGATAATCATAGCAGTCATAGTGCCACAGCTCTAAGGGACCTAGGGCCTCCCGTCGCCCAAGGTTGTGGACAGTTTATTGTGTTTGGTTTCGACTTTCGGACGCAACCACCGTCAAGCACTGGTAGTGTCAGCAGGAACAGAGAGATAGACGTTCCTTACTACCAGGCACATCCCACCCGGGCACAAGGGGACAGCAACATCAAGAAGCGCTGCTGTGGGTGCGGCATCCTGACAAGCAACGAACTTCCGAGTAGCAAAGCTGTCGTGAATCAACATCGGCATGCTAGTCATCCCGACCACCACCCCCACCGGCACAATCAGAATGATTGTTGGCTTTACGAAATTTGTTTTCACGACAAAGAATTGAGTGAACTTCCTGCAACTCCAGAAAGCACTGAATCGTTCGTTGAGCGTCAGCAGACTTGATACGACCTCGTTTCTCTGGATTTAGATGCCAGGCCAGGCAGGGCTCAAGCATCCATTTGCGAGGTGATTCGACTCCTCCTACGATACGGTGCCGATGTGCATGGTCGCGGTGCTTGCAATCGCGTCCCGCACGAATGATTCATGAAATACTCCAGGCTCATTAGACTATACCAGTGTTGTTTGATCTCGTAGGCTCTTGTTGACCATCCTTCGTACGGCTACAGATACTCACGAGTAGCTACCCCTTAGAAGTGATTACGGACCCTTTTGACCAACCCGCACTTATCACAGTACGGTGAAAGGTATGGACCCTTGACCAACCAATACTTATAAGCAATACAATGCGCCATGATGAGCATTGCCTGCGGCACTGCCTTGCCAGCTTACCTATAGTCTCCATTGTAGTTCCTTGTTTGGGTTACCTTGTAGGATCAGAACCATAAAGATGGTTTAACCAAAAAGGAACTACAATGGAGACTATAGGTAGGGTCGTGCTCTCAGCCGCACGGCCCTTCCTCCAACGATCCACAGATGAGAGTTTCCGAAAATTAGGGGTGCCTTATCTTGGGGTCCTTATAATAAGGATCCTACTATTCAGGATACAATATTAGAGTCCCCTATTTTCGGAAGCTCCCAGATCAGCAATTTCAGAGAGCACCTCACAGCAAACGACCACCATCAGCATCAGCCGCACAGCATCTCACCTACTATATGGGCCTAAATAATTAGAATAGGGTTCCTTGACAGGGTTCCTTACAAGGCGTCTATAAGGGATCTATAGTACGGATAGTGTCGTGGGCCTTATATTAGCAGCACGCGTGGCCACCTAGTTTGGGGACTCCTAGCCTGTCCCCAGCAGCCTGGAGCCAGCAAGCATCATTAATTTAGGTTATTTGGGTCAAGGTCGTGCCAATACTTGCCCATAAACGTTTGCAGGCTGCAGCACTTACAGCGTAGCCAGGTCGAGACCTAAACCCTGAACCCTAAATCACCTAATTCTGGAGTTCAACACTGAACCTTCGATCTTCAGCACTGAAGGAGGGCGTAAGAAGAGAAAGCAAGATCTTGACACCTGCCAGCAGAAGGCACCGCCGCAGAGATAGTTGCAGAGAGGCAGGGGGTGGCCTTTTCTGCTTTGGGGCCCCCTGGGGTGTGGGGTTTAGTGCGCTGGGACGCTTGGCCCGAACCCTAGGCGTCCCATGGCAGGGCATCAGGGCGTCGAGGTTTGGCTAAGGGCAGGCGGAAGCCTTAATCTTAGGGTGGTTTCAGGTAGTATTCTAGTATTATGGTATTATAGTATAGTTCAGGCTTCACATCCAGACTCCTCCACTTCCTGACTCCTCGACTCCTCAAACAGCCTCCTTTCTGAGTCGCCGGCATTTACACAGCGAGGTCGCAAGAGTCTTAAGTGCTGCACGCTTGACACAGAATATAAACTATAGTATTATAGTATTATGGTAGTATGGTATTCTAGCATTATTATAGTATAGCATTAAGGTTTTGGGCTTACCTTTCGGCGTCAGTTCTGCCTGCGGCTTCAGTTTCAGGCCCTCAGCCCGAAAAGGCAACCCTTGTAGAACTCTTACGGAACCTCACGGCCCTAAACCCGGAACTCCCAAGGTGGGGAACTCGTCGTTTGGGCGCAGCTACGTTAAGGAACCCTTAATCGGGAACCCTTAAACCCCAAACCTCTTCTTCGTGGCCAGGCTAACAATCCTTCAACACGATTCCTTCGGGCTCCTTGCTGTAATCACACTATATTATAGCCCAGAACCCTATTCTAGATATTCAGGCCCCTATCTTCACTATATCCTTCGTGGCCAGGCTACCCAGGTAATACAGTGCCCTTATAGAACCGGTGTAGTAATCTTTATGGGAATCCTTATAGGGAGCCCTTAAAGGAGCCCTGAGCAGCGAACCCGTTCTTCGTTGCCAGACGAAACCTTAAGACCCCCAATCCTTACAATTACCCCAAACCCTAAAGCCTAAACCCCCACAGTCTGGACCCAAACCCTATGCCATTTCTATAAACCCTCGAATTACTCCAAAACCCTAAACCCTTAACCCCCATAATCCTCTGTGCCAGGCCTAACCCTTAAACCCTTAAACCCTAAACCCTAAAACCCTAAAGCCGAAACCCCCCATATTCCTCGCTGGCCAGGCTAAAGAGGTCATATATCGCCCTGCTGGATCTCTTGCACTAATCGTTGTCGGAACGCTTAAAACGAAACCTTAACCCTAAAACCCTAAAGCCCTAAACCCTAAAAGCGCTAAACCCTAAACACAGGAGGCTCTTGACTGTGCTTTGTGGTGGCCAGGCTAAACCCTAAACCCCTAAGCCGTAGACCCTCAAAAGCACTTAACCCTAATCCCCCCCCATATTTCTTCCATGGCCAGGCTAAAGAGGTCATATATCCCTTAAAGGAGACCTTAAACCCCTAACCCGTTCTCTAGGATGCCCAGCAGTACCCTCATTGCCTTTTTGCAGTCCTAGGTTCCTTATATAGCCCCCCAATGCCAAAAAGGGAGCCCTTTTTATTCCTAGGTTACTGGGCATCCTAAATCTTTGTGCTGGCCAGGTTAAAGAGGTCATATATCCCTTAAAGGAGACCTTAAACCCCTAAACCCTAAAACCCTTCAACCCCTAAACCAATGAACCCAGAGACCTTAAACCCTTAACCCCTCAACCCTAAACCCCTAAACCTCGGGACTTTAAACCCCTAAACCCAGAGACTTTAAACCCCTAAACCTAGAGAAATTAAACCCCTAACCCGTACTTTGTGCTGGTCAGGCTAAAGAGGTCATATATCGCCCTTGAGGATCTCTTATACGACTCGTTTTTAGGAACCCTTAAAACCCTAAATCCAACCCCCCCCAATATTTTTTCGCTGGTCAGGTTAAAGAGGTACGAAGACCCGACTTTGGCCTTCTGCCAGTTGCAGGACCCTACTCAGGTGAGCGTTTTGGCTGGGGTTAAGGGTTGTTGTCTTTTGTAATGGGGGGGTGTAGTTTAGGGTTTAGGGTTTTCTTTTTCGGGTTTAGGGTTTAAGGGTGTTTTTGGGTGGGTTTAAGGGTTTTTGATGGTTTTTTTGGTTTAAGGTTTAGGGTTCAGGGCTTTGTGGCTTTAGGATTTAGGGTTGGGAGGTTTAGGGTTTCCTTTTAAGGGTTCCTGAAAGGGGACTAAAGAAGTACGAAAATATGTAAGGATTACAAAAAGGGATCTGTAAGGGTGCTACAAGGGGTGTAGGGTTAGGAGGAAACATGCCGTGAGGCTTGGCTTCTGAAGGCCTGCACCGAGTCCCTAAAAGCTCAATCAAGTCGCGCAAGAAGTTCTCTGTGCTCCGAAACCCTAAAACCCTAGACCCTGAACCCTACATGGGTGGTCGTCAGAATTATGGTCACGTTTTGGGTGCCCTAAATATTAGTAGGTGCCGTATAAAACTAGGGACCCAAAAAAGGACCCTAATTTTGACAACCACCCTCATGCTGCCTGAGCCGCGATGCTAACTGCTCCATACGATTGGGCGTCGACTCACTGTCTCTTCAGATACGGGTTTTGGCTTTAGGGCTTAGAGAAGAGATGCAAGAGCCCTTTCGTTGGCACTGAAGCCGGCATCAGCAAAGAGAGTGCGGAATATGTTCCACGAGGTGGTGCATGTGGCCGACAACTCGTATCATGGCCTTTTCGAAATCATCCTTGACTTTGAAGTGACAGTGCAACTCCTACAAGTGAGTCGATCGATGAATCACGAGCTGATGCACTTCCTACACGGCAGGAACATCTCGCATTTCATCACCCGCGATTTGCATCAACCACGGCCTCCTCAGCTTGCGGTTGCTAAACCCCGAAACCCTTAAACCCTAAAAGCCCCTAAACCCCCAAACCCTAAACCATTACACCCTAAACCCCCACCCCCGAAATCCTGAACCCTAAAAAATCCCAGATCATAATATCTACTGATCGGATGCTTGCGAACAGTTCTGCACCCTGGCCGAATAAACCATTGCACCCGGCATCGTATTGGAAACCGTGTTGAAATAAACTTGCCAGTTGTATCGATCGCATTGAGCCCACATTGCTTCTGCATGAGATCGTGTTCGTCCTCGTATCGAAATCATATCAGCACCGTACCTCCCGAATTGTGGAATACGTCAGACGTATCAGTGAATCGTATCGGTTATCGTATCCAAACCATAAAGAAAAAATCTCGGTTCGATACCATGGTTATAGTGTAGGGGCATTACGGGTATATGATTTATGGTCGTGATGTTTAGGCTTCGGGGTTACAGGAGTTTGGGGTTTGGCGTTTTTTTGTGCTTCAGACGATGTGGATGATGTTTTTTTTCGCGCATTGCGGGCCCCTTTGGATCTGAATGTGAGCTTTACCTGGACCCTAGAAACCTACCATTTTCGGGTTCGTTGGTAGATTCTTTGGGGGTTAAGGTATGGTGTTCGGATTCGGGTCTAGGGCAGTAACTCTCTCGGGAGAGACAGTTGATGTTTGGGGTTGATTTCAAACGCTCCACGGTTTGGGAGATCTGGTGGAATCCGGTGTGCCTATGCGGGCCTGCGTGAATACAGATACATGAAGCCGGCTACAGAAGCAAATCCCCAAAAGGCTTAGCAGGTCACTCGCGTTCCCGCAGGTCTGTGGCGGTAAAGCCTGCATCTCGAAACCCCAGGCCCTATGCTTGGCCCGCAGGCTCTGGCGCCCCACATTCCGAAACCTGCAAAGCCTAAAGCCCTAAGGCCCCAATCCCAAGGCCACGAAGCCCAATTCATATCAGCCTATATTCTATAAAACCTATAACCCTTACTCCTGCATCCCCAAACTATAATTAAACTAGACTTACCCCAAACCGTAAATCAAAAACCCTAGAAAGTAGAACCCTAAGCCCTAAACATTCAACATCATCGGCCAACTTACACCCCCCACCGCCACCCTGTGATTTTAAAAGATCGCCCAAGTTTCTGGGAAATGGGTAGATTTTTCATTGAAGAACCTTTGAATTCGCAGCCGTTTTAAAATCTTTTCGGTTTTTAATAAGAAAACTCGCTTCTTGAGGAAATAAGATTACAAATAGATTTTATTAAAATCTTTTTCGGTTTTTAATAAAATTGTTTAGTTTTTAAAAATAGGTTCGCTCAAAAAAAATGCTGGCTCGATTAGGGGAGTCGAGAACTGTTTACAAAGCCTCTTTAAATTGCTTTTGCTGGGGGTGGGGGTTGAGAATTCGCTGGCAACAAAAGGCTCCAAGTCCACCACTTGCCAGGTCGAAGCGGCCCGTGTGCGTGACCTTGAGGTGCTACAGGTGCAGATCCCGACACCCTTCAAAGCAGGGGTTTTGGGGTTTTGAGGGTCCAATAGGGTTGACTATAGCTGTACTATAGTCAGTTTAGGATTTATATAGGGTTTAGGGTTTACAGGGTTTGGGCATGTAGCGCGTGGGATTTCAGAGCTTTAGGGTTAGGGTTTAGGGTGTTGGGCTTGGCATCAAACTGCTGTGAATAGCCCAAGCTCTCAGAGTTCCATGAGGGCTACTCTATGGTTTAGGATGAAAGCTTAAAGACTACTAGTCGCCATGACCAGAATGATTATCAGAGTCTTGAAGCTACTGTGTTTATGCTGGCAGCACGGTTACTCCTGACGGAGGCTTCCGCTATTTGTCGAGTGCAACCTCCCTCATGAGTATTAGCAGCCATCTTCTATATTCTTCACAATATGAGTAAAATCAACTGGTGATGTGTCTGTCATGTTTTTGCTTGGTCCTTCTATTCTTAGATTAGATTGGTGTTCGGAGTCGGTGATTGTTGGCTCAGCTGGCGTTTTAAAGACCGAAGTCCAGAAACCTGCCTCAAACCCGGGTTTCGTGTTTAATAGGTTTAGGTTTAGAAGGCAGCTAGGCAGAGTCCCAGCCGTGCGACAGCTTCCTTGGGCCACGCTCGGTCACCATCTGGCAGCCTGCTTTTGTGTAGTGGAGGCAGCACAGGAAGTCAAAGGTACGTCGGTCGCAAGCTGCAGCCAAGCAAGGACTGAGGAAGATCGGCGATGACTTGTTTAGAAGTCCGGGACAGCTTGCAAGCTGCCACGAAGGCAAAGTTTACATGCCACACATGTACACGAAGATTGCTCGTAGAAGGGTTGAAGTAAATATCAACAGCAAAGTAAGGAAGGACCAGCGAAAGACAATTGGGAGTAGGATCGCGCCTGTTCATTGCATGATCTCGCCGTTTGGCCATCATGCGATGAAACTCCCGGAGTCAGTGGTGGCAGCTTGTCGTCGCGAATGAAAGCGGGGAGGATCTGGAGCGTCCAGACGTGACCATTGATCCTGCAGCTATTTTTCCGCCTACCGGACTGTTCCCTAAACCCTAAACCCTATAAACCCTAAAGCCCTGAAGCCCTAAAGTTTGAGCTACCACCAAGCGGTGACCTTTTCGGTGGCAAGCAGCGGCCTTGGGTAGGTGCCTGCGGGATCACGGACTCATCTCGAGACTAGTGCAAGGTGCCCACTTGTATGCGATATCTGCAAGGCCCCACGCGGCGCCTGGAACAAGGTATGAGCAAGTTGCGACCGTGGATCGAGCGGCACAGACCATGCAGTACTGTTCTGTTAAGAAACCGCTAAAGCAAAGGGAGGGTACACATGAGAAAATCTTTCTCCGGTCACTTCGCAGCGCCATCCCACAGCAAGCTCGGCCTTAGATCGACGTGGCCTTTTGTATTGCTCCACCAGTCACCAGTGTGACTGACGATCCGAGTAGGCTGTGATAGCCAGTTTCGCCAGAACAAAGCGGAGTCTCCAATCCTAATAAAACCTGAACCCCAGCCTGCATACTCAACGCCACATGCTGCACGGCTGAGCAGCTTGTCCGGTGCCCCGACGCCCTGAACCTTAAACCCCAGACGCCCTGATCTCTGGACCCTAAAGTTCAGGGTGGAAGGTGGAGGATGGGGAGACTTCGTCAGTCAGGTTCAAATCATAGGGCTAGCTTATTCGTATCCGAATTGGGAGTCTCAGAAATGAGGGCTTCCGATATACACCCCAACTAGTCGGGCCCTTGTGACAGGGATTCGTAAGTCTTCCTTCGCAATCTAACCTCCCCACACTGCGCGTATTGAAGCCCCGGGCTCATCCTACGGTAAACCTCATAATGTTGGAAACCGGATTAAGGCCAAACAGTGCTGGGATGCCCTATACTTCACTTTACCCTTAAGGATTGAGGCTGTTGGGTTTCCAACTTTTGGGCTTCTACTGTAATTGGGACTCTAACTAGTTGCAAGTATAGTTAACTTAGTCATAAGCTTAGTTACTAAGTCCCATGATCCTCTAAGTAGAGTCTTGTGGTACAGGTAGCCAAAGGTAGGAGACCTTAAACCCCTAAACCCTAAACCCTAAAACCCTAAATCCCTAAACCCAGAGTCCTAAGCCAAAGGTGCTGATTGATGCCGGTGCGGATGTTCCCTGGCCAGGGAGCAGGCTGGCAGTGCTGTCGGTTTGCTCTTAGGGCTTAGGGTGTAGGGTTCAAGGTTTAGGGTTTAGGGCGTAGGGTTGGGGTTTAGGTAGGGTTTAGGGTGTAGGGTTTAGGGTGTAGGGTTCAAGGTTTTAGGGTGTAGGGTTTAGGGTGTAGGGTTCAAGGTTTTAGGGTTTGGAGTTTAGGTAGGGTGTAGGGTGTAGGGTTTAGGGATTCAGGGTTTAGGGTTTGGCCATGATCCGGTTCATTATGAGAAGCGTGGGCAAGCAAACCTTACCTTTGGTTTGTAGGGAATGGAAGAACGGTAGTAACAGTAGTTATAAGTGTACCCCATTCCTCCATTCCCTACTAACCAAAGGTGAGAAACTCAAAATGTTATCCTCTACACCAAAACCTTCACTTCCGAACTCAGGGAGAACGCAACACAGGGGCCTGAAGAATCAGTAGTGGTAGTCTGTACGTTTGACCATTACTTGTATAGCCGAATAGGTCCCAGAGCCTCACTTCTAGATTTTAAGGCCTTGATTATACTTGTGCTAACATGGGCGTGTTGTGCGTTGTCAGGTGTACACCCTCGTGACTCCAGGGTTGGAGGATTTGAGAGGGCCGACAATTTTCGTTTGGGAGGGCGCATGTTTAGGTTTGAGGATGTGATCGGGAAGACACTTTGGGACCTGCTGGGTTTGAAGGGTTTCCAGTCGTCGGCTTTCGGTGGTCTTAGGCGTAGGTAGCAGATGGGTGCGGGTGCAGGTCCGAGCGTGGCACCGTGAGTTCTGGAATGAAGCCTGGCTTTCATAGTTGGGCAGATTGGGGCTTAAGTTAGATGAGCTATGGTGCTCATTGTGCTTATGTCATAAGAGAATCTCGGGTGGTACTCCTGTCGTAGTTCTACTTGTGGTGGCATTAAGTGTCGTGGTCGTAGTCGTAGCCGCGGCAGCGGCAGCAGCGCTCGCAGTGGCCGTGGCCGTGGCAGTGGTAGTCGCAGGGGCAGGGGCAGTGGGAGTGTAGTGGTAGTAGTAGAAGTAGTAGTAGTAGTAGTAGTAGTAGTAGTAGTAGTAGTAGTAGTAGTAGTAGTAGTAGTAGTAGTAGTAGTAGCAGTAGCAGTAGCAGTAGCAGTAGCAGCAGCAGCAGCAGCAGCAGCAGTAGTAGTAGTAGTAGTAGTAGTAGTAGTAGTAGTAGTAGTAGTAGTAGTAGTAGTGGTAGTGGTAGTGGTAGTGGTAGTGATACTGGCGGCTATACCAGTCGCTGCAAGGCAGAGTTTGCAACAGCTGGGAGTAGCGGTGCCAGGTTCCGGCTCGGCGACGAACCAATTCGAGACGCAAAGCTCATCAAGGAGTTTTGGATTTGCCACTCAGCTAAGGTTTTTGGCGTTTAGGATGTAAGGTTTACTAAGTTGTTTATAGGCTCCCCGCTTTTTTTGGATTTGCCACTCAGCCAACGAAGGGTTTTTACAGGTGGTCGGTGTTTTTGGTGTTCGTATGGTTTTCCCGGAGGTTTTCGGCCCTTACACTTCCAGACTCGTTCCTTTGCTTCTGGCCGTAAACTCAACCGTACCCGGCCTTTCTGCTGCTGGCTCGTAACTTTGGCCACAAATCAGATCCAAGCAGGAAAAGCAGAAGCAAGTAACTCAGTCCCTTAAGTGATCCATATATATATATATATATCTGTCATACTGTACTGCGTTTCAAGGATGCTTGTCTGTATGAAACTGAGTCATGTAAGACCGGCATAGCAGGTTTAGCTGCGATGAAACTTACTGAGGCAAGGCGTGGACCGTTCCCAGAGTCACTGAAACCTTGTAGACTCTAGCTCCGAGAAGTTAGCTGATTTTGACATGCAGCAACTTCTGTGTGGGTTCTGTGTTACGGATGCAGGAATGAATGACAGTTAAATCAGGGCAGACTCCAAGTCAACGACAGATACTTCCTGGCTGGGGCATGTGAGATTCACAGCCCAGCGCGCCGCAAGATTCTTCATTGCGGGCCGAAGTGAACAGTGCTCAAAAACCCATGGCCAGCTACACATATAGGGCAATCGCACATGGGACCTCCTCGAAGCTAGACACACTCGAGTTCCAAACCCTCCACCCAAAGCCACCAAGGCAGCGCCGTGAACCCTATACCTCGAAAGATCCTCTTAACCCGACCCGAAACCCTAAACCGGATCCTCTTGAGCTTCAGGCTTCTTCTGCGCATGGGTGCAGACCGCGGCGTACGTTGCAAGCTCCTCCAAAAGCATGAGTCTCGGACCCCAGGCATGCCCGCGGCCCTGAATGCAGTTTTTTGATAACCAGTGCATTTGTTTTCGTTCTGGGCAGATCTATCCGCATCTATCCCTGCTCGGTGCTTCTATGGCGCATGGGTCCTTATTTAAAGGGACCGGGCGCCTGGGGTGCCATGATTTTCTGCTGGACCAGACTTAACCGGGGGTTTAAATTTCAAGAACTGGTCCACTCCGCCACGATGTGGCTGTGTAAATTTACTTTGCGCATCTTTGCTCTGCTCCAAGCTGATAACACCTATCCGAACTGCAAGTACCCAACTAGGTCGAAATAGAAGGGTTTGAGGTGCCTCCCTACTCTGAAGGGTTCTTGGTCCTTGAAACCCTACTGAATACGTGCACCCTCTGGGGTAGCGAAGATCAAGAACATGCTTAATTTTGGTTGTAGCTCGTTAGTGGTACCACCATTCTTAGAAGCTGCGTCTGTAGGTGCGGTTCGATATGCAGTGTGAGTAGTCGTGGTGATGGTGGCGGCCGTTCTAGTCGTCGGGGGTTGTTTGTGCACACGAAGTCGTGGCGGTCGAAGTCGTGGCTAGCATGGCGGAGGTGGTGGTGTTAGCCTTAGGAATGAATTCCGCGTTGGTGGTCGCTGTAGCAGCAGCCGGGTGGGGAATAGGTTGTAGGAGCAGTCGTAAGTGGCTTGCATCGTCCATTTTATGAATTCTGGGGCTTGCCTGTGAGGGTAAGCGCTGAGCTAAGCTGCTTAAGGTCAAACCTTCAAAGCCCGCCCCAGATCCTGTCAGCAATAAACACTTAACTCCCTAAGCCCTACTTGCGGCCCAATAGACCTAATGAGCTATATAGCAACCATAACAAGAATCCTAAAACCGATAGGTCTTTTCGGCTATAAGCCCTCACGCCTGAGAACTGCACCCGAAAGCCAAACCAACTCCTTCTCGCGCTTGGAACAGACCTTCCCCACACGTCCGAACCTGTTCTGCAACGCCAACGCAGGGTGGTTTAGGGGTCTACGATTCCAGGGAGTCGAGACGGTCTTCTACAAGGGCCTTCGGGTTTTAGGGTCGTAACTGTGGATTGATTGCTGAGGGTTGGCTTTTCCTTCAGTTCGTGCTTCGTTCTTACTTGATATTTACGTATGACTTGCTGCCCAGGCTTTCCTTGTGCAAGAGGACTCTTGGTGCCCATCTGGGGTGTTCTTAACGCTGCTTCCGAAAAGATATGAGCGCTGCGTTTAAGCAGGGATGATATCTGGTTGGCAGGGTGGCAGGACGGCCTGCTGCAGGGTTTTGGGGTGTTTAGGGTGTATTGAAGGAAAGGTTGTGCATCTAAATATACTCAAAGACTGCTTACAGCTAGTCTTTTACCACGGAGTCTAGGCTGAGGTCGTAACCCTACTCTCAGAACCTTCGACCCCCTTGGCTATGAATTGCACAAACTTGAGCCCTCAGGCCCCAACCCTCTACATGCCGCTGCCCTAAATCCCCAAGCAGAAAGGTAGTAATCCTGCTTTTGGGCTCCGCTCTCTGGGAGCGACCGCCTGCAACTTATGGCGCAGCGGAACCTGTATGCCGCAGAGTGTCGCAAGCAGCCCTGAATTTATGCTGAAACTGCAGCTACGTTTTCACCAGAAGCTCCTGCATCTGGTGTGTCCATTTGGGTTTGCCTTCGGATGAGCCCGTTTGTTTCGTCATGAACCTCAGAGTCTGAAGTCCAGATCTCAAAACCAAGTCTCCGACGAGGGCTTTTCTGCATGGTTGTCAAGTCTACTGCCCGTATGGAAAGCATGACGCCCACAGGGAGAAATTCAGTAGTGAAACGGGTCTCTTGCATTGCCAGCAAAGGCAGAAACCCTAAAGGGAACTCCAGAAAGTTGGAATATGGTTTCAGGGTAGGATACCCTATAATTTACCATAAAGGGTTAAGGATAATCATCTTCCAACTTTCTGGCTTTTACTTTAGACCCGAAACCCTGAACCCAGATCGCCCGGCAGCCGTAGATAGTAAGCCAGAGTTGGAGGAGAGCTTCTCGCGTGTTAGCTTTGGCGCTGGATACGGCCTTTGGAGCCTCCTGGGGCTGAACTACGCATCGCCCGAATCCCCACATACTGTGGGAACCTGATTAAGACACTCTTTTGGGGCCTATAACCCCAAAGTAGTAGGATTCGTATAAGGAACCCTCATCAAGACCCAAGGTTTCTTAATCAGGTTCCTACATTACCAATCCCCAGGCCCTAAGCTTCATTTTCTGCAAAGGATTCCTCAGGACAAGAGCTTCACTCGGGGGTCCCCCTAAACCGTGCGGTTTCCTGCCAATGCAAGTTCAGGTGCTGCTGGCGACATGGAGCTTTAGGGTGCGAGTTCCCGTTGCATGCTAGTCGTACATGCGAGCATCTTTTTTTCAGGTTTTATGTGCCGACAGGATGGCGGATGCAGCGGGAAGTCTCCGTCCTAACTGTAGTGATTATCTGAGAACGGGGTGGGAGATTCGAGACCTAAGGGCCTTGTCTTCATGGGCTCGGGCCTTGCTAAACCCAAGGTTATAATATACTACTGGCTAAAGGTTTAGGAGTTTAGGGTTTAGGGGTTTAGGTTTTAGGGGCTAGGGGTTTAGGGGTTTAGGGTTTCCTTGGGTTACCCATGGGCCCCATAGTAGTTCCTTTTGGGGGATTACCTTATAGATTCACCCCAAAAAGGAGCTACTACGGGGCCTATGGGTAGGTTCAGGGGCTTAGATATTCAAGTCACGGCCTGCAAGTAGTCACCGAAACCATTTATTTGAGATCGGTTGCAGCGGAACCCAGAGCTATTGCGAGAGGGTGATGAAGCTGGTGACGACCAAGAAGAGGTGCTTGCAATCGGAACGATGATGATCACGACGATGTTTGGATGATGGCAGGAAAGACGGCGATTTCGATGGCATTGCACTGATCTTGTGTTTGATTGTTACGGTTACCGCGATTCCAACGTCATTGGTCATAACTGTGGCCATGATGCCGCTGGCCATGACGACGACAAACAGAAGACTAGCGATGGTAGGGGCGAAAGTGATGATGTTTTCGCAGTCGCTGATGCCGGTTGTAATGTTGATGAGTCGATGTAGAATGACAGTGGTGGTGCTGGTGATGGTGCTGGTGCTGGTGACGGTGACGTTGATGGTGGCGGCGGTTGTGGCGGCGCTGTAGTCGTCGTGGTGGCGGTGATGGCAGTGGTGCTGTTGAAGGTGATACTCTTGATTACGATGTTGCTCGCGATGAAAATGACCACGATGGTGGCTGTGCCAGTCATGCTTATTTGACGAGCGTGACGACACATGTGACGAACCCCGCCCTCTGTCATGCGTTGGTCAGTATTTAAAAACTCGAATCAAATCTTAGGTTCTGTTAGGAACACGTCTCTTTCGCCAGGTGAACTTTTGAGGTTCCGGATGTAAGGACCCCTGCGAGGAAGCTCATATCGCAATAGTCGAGGTTTTTCCTGCTTGTTTCCCAGATCGAACAACCAACGTAAGAGCCCAGCAAACAGGTCAAATCGAGTCCGTCTTCCCAAGCCCTCAATCCCATACGGGCTTATCGCTGAGTGAACTTTGGCTGCGCCATGATCAGCCCTGACTCCTTCAAATCCTGCGTGCATTATGTATTGAATCTCTACCTCCGGAGATAACTTTAGAAGCCTGAAAAACTTAAAGTACATCGCAACCCTTGTAGCAGCATCATGTCACACTATACCCCCAAAAGCTTGTTCTAATTGTAACGGCCCCGAAATTCCAGAACCCTACTATAGAGCCCTTATAGTAACCCCTTCAATGATCCATTTAAAGGAACCCTAGTCTATCTATTACGGCCCCTGCATTGTAGTACCATTATAGTAGCCCTTCTAGACCCTAAACCCTAAACCCTAAACCGCCCCGTAGTAGCCCTCCTAAACCCTAAACCTTAAACCCTAAACCCTAAACCGGCCCTATATTACAGATGCCCGGAGGGCTTGGATCTCCCAGCCATGATGCCCAGCCGTTGCAAAGGCCCGTCGGGTCCCCCGGAGCACCTTTGAAGCTCGTTGCTACGACTTTAGGATTTCATGCAAGGGTTAGGATTTGTCGGATTTCAGAGTTTAGGATTTTAGGATCTAAGAGTTAGTATGGTTTAAAGGGTACGACTACGCAGGACTCTATCCCAATGTAGCGTCCCCGTTTGCGGGGACTGACCTTTCGGGGGCCTAGGGGTGCGACTGCAAGTTCAATTCAAACGCCCCAAGCTACAGCGAGAGCGCCGAAGAAGAAACACCCGTCTTGCGATCGTGTCGCAGACGTATGTCCCACCTATAACCTGCAAATATGAAACTGAAACCTAGACCCCACGGCAAAGGGGTTTCTAGGTTGAAGGTTTTTTGCAGATCCTGAGGTGCTGAGCTCCATAAAGCATAGTCAAGGAGCAAGGAGTTAAAAGAGGCGTGAAGTAGGTGGCTAGTTGTTTCCACACACATCGTAGACCCTGAGCCATGTCCACAGCTTTAAACTGAGTGTGGCTGCACTCAAAGGGCCCTTTCAAACAGGCCTCCGAAAGGCCTTGACGGACAGGAAAGCCTCATTTCAAGATGAACTACACCCTCGATCCTAATCCTAGAAGGCTAAGCCCTAAGACCCTGAGCCTACAACCAAAAGATGTACACCGAGTCGACGTGAGGTCTTCGGGGCTCTCAACCTGAACGAAGACGTCTATAATGTAGGTTTAGGGCTTAGCGCAGGGGCCTTAAGAACTGGCATTGGGTTCCTGGGCTTTTTCTACGGTACGTTCAATTAGGATCCCGAACGAACAATATTCCTGTTCTTATTCTTGATCGGACAGCTGAGCTCACGAAGAGCGCGTCCCCAAATCTGCACTAGTCACTCAAACAATTTCTCGCAGGAGAGGTCAAACAGAAGCGACTGGACGACTCAGCCAAAATCATATTGCCTCGTTGTGGCGGAGCCTTCTTTCGAGGCAACGTCTATGAAATCGTGTACCCAGGAACAATATTACCAATCATTCGGGCGCC